CATTGCTGTCGAGCTAGCGTTTCACTATACTCATCTGTCTGCCTATTAAGTTCAGCATTTTGTCTGCGTAGGCGTCGGTTTAGTTTCTGCGTTTTCCATTGAGCCCGCAGCGCGTTTTTAGCCTCCAGAAGGTGGGCTAATCGATTGTCCATGCGCTCTTTAACACTTTCTGTCTTCACTTCCTTTGTGGAAGCAGCAACGTCTTCTTTGAGGCGAGTGATTAATTCGTTTAACGAGTTGTATTTATTCTCGTCTTGCTTTCTGATAGCTCTAAAAAGGTCCCAATCTGTGACGTGAAATTTTCTGGGCGGTGGTGACGAGATTCTTATCGCGAGGCTGGTAATGTAGTGATCACTACTGAGATTCTCTTGTATGTTAGTAAGTTAGTCCATATGGGTTCCTCTGCATTCCTAACCATGGTCAAATCTGGTGTGGTATCCCTGCTGACCGAATTGCCTATTCTGGTGGGGCGTGGATCGGTGACCAGTGTGAGACCACAAGCTATGATCTGTGCTGCGAGGGCTTTGCCTTTTGCGGTATCCTTGATATAGCCCCAATCTTGATGTGCGTTAAAGTCCCCTGCTATGATGAGCGTTCGATCACCTGCAATTTTACACGCTTTGTGGAAAAGAGCATGAAACGTCTCTTTTCTGTCGGCTGGTGAGCTGTAAACGTTTAAAATAAAAACGGATTGCTAAAGTTAGCGTTCGGGATGAGCTCGATCATGATGTGTTCAATTTTTACGTCCGGTCTAACGTCATGACGTAAATAGGCAAGATCCTTTGAGACAAGTGTCGCTACACCCCTCTTGCCCTCCTTGAAATACGCTTCTGCACGATAGTGATGAAGAGCGATGACATCGGTGAGCATTTCCTGGAGGAGGATTACTGATGGCTTTTGGGTAGCAAAGCTAAGAAAGTGTTGCAGTACTGCATTTCTTTTGCGGAAGCTGATCCAATTCTATTGCCAGATCACTAGATTGCTTGCATTATCCATTTTACTGACTCGAAGGGGGTGTACCAAGCAGTGCGTGCTGCCTGTATGATTCTAAAATTTGAAGCCTCGCTGTGTGCTCGGTCAGTTGGAGCGTGATAGGAGTAGTTTCAGCAATAACGTCATTTCTTAGCTTTTCAAGCAGTGTTTGGATGCTTAAGACGTTAAGCGCCTCCTCGTCCATGGGCTCAGGGCCTGCCCTGCGTTTCGCGCCTCTGTTGACGGATGCTGTGGCTGCGGTAGCTTGATCGCTAGACGCGCGCTGTCACTGCTGCATTTCTTGCAAGATTGACTTAATATCAGCTAATTCCTGTCGAAGAGACGCATTCTCGCGCTCTAGTGATTGTATTTTGTCTCGCGTTTGCAGTGACAGTTGCCCTGGTTGCGCGGGGGCATGGACCTCACCTGTTCCGGCTACCTTGTCCGCCCAGGTAGGTTGCGAGTTGAAGCCGCCCCGGGAACTCCGAGAGCCTTCCGTGGCGGCGTTCCTTGGAGCAGCCGCAGCTGGTGTCTTGGTAGGAGCGGCGATTTCCTGGTCTCCGGCGTTGCTCGTAGCGTTCTTCGTCTTGCGACCGCCTTTCCTTCTTTTTCTACGTCGCCTTCTTACAACGTAGGGAACTTGGTATATGTTTTCGCAGGTACGGTCACCGGTGAGATGAGCGTCTCCGCATAGCACGCACTTCGGTTGCACACATTCGTGTCCGTTTGCGATGATCGAAGTCCCGCACTTTTCACACACTTTTTCAGTCGGTCTAGGGCAGACATCGTATCGTGCCTGTGGCCGATTCGGTCGCAGTTACGGCAAGTGTCGATTTGCCTCTTGTACAGTGTACAGCGTAGCATGTTGGGGCCACAGTGAACATAGTTGGGCACTTTCATGCCGTTGAACAGTACAATCACGGTAGGGGTCTCCTTTATGCGCCTGACTCCGAGCACCATCGGGTTTCTGGGTGTGACAAAAAGGCTTTGCAGCGCAGGTTCGGCCAGATCGGTGTCGATGCCTCTGACCACACCTCTACAGGTATCTCCCGGAGGTGCAGTGTAAGCCGAGATAGAGTGCTTTTTATCTGCCAAGAATATTTCCTGCACTTTGCAGTATGCATTGGCATTCGATTCGGAGGGTGTGCTTATAACGAAGATATTCTGCATGGCGTTCGCACACACGATATCCTCCTCGGCTGCCGCTGTGGCAGCCTGGCAGCCATTAAAATGGCTTGCGTGACCTTTAACTGACTGCATGTTCGCACGTCCAGCCCTCCCCCCGGGCGGACGACCACTCGAAAGTGCGATGTGGGCAGGCGCGGTAGCCTGGAGGCTGCGGCAACCTTTCTCAGCTGGCTGGCTTTAGCGGGGCCAACGTGGGCTCCAGTTTGCCTAGCCGAGTGCGTCTCGTGCTTGAAGCGGGTTTTATCCGCATTCCGCTTTCTGTTGGCGGTAATCCAGCCGTTGGACTCGGCTTCCTCTTTGGAGATTTGCTCTCCTTCTACCATAGCCTCACGAGGCATGGCCTCCTCGGGGTCGGCCGAACAAGCGGCCGCGCGTTCCGCCTTTCCACGCTGCGGCGCCCGATGCCGTGTATAAGCACAAATAGGCCTAACCCTTGGTGTCGGAGAAAGGACCCACAAAAGAGGTTCCAGTGGACCTACCGTGATTAATGGCGTATCCAGGTGTTCCTTGAAACTTCCCGCAGTTGCTCCAGTAGAAATCTCGGAGGGAAAGCACATCGGACTCACTTGAACAACGTCAGTTGGCGGAGCCGATGCAGACGCGTTCGCAAGCCACTCCACCACCTAGCGTCTCCCACGCCGACGTCGCCACGCCAGGCGTCGGTCCTGCCGTATACTCGCTGGCGCGTTCTGCGTAGCTTTGACACATGCGCGTTTCAGTGTGTCCAGCATCCCTCCGTCTCGAAAAGACGCAGACACAGTGCTGTCTGGGTCAAGCATTGGCGCCAAATGCAGCATGTCACACTTCACGGCGGTTGCCGTCGGACCGCGATGACGGACGCTGGTCGCGCCGGCCGCGCTTGGCGTCAGACTATAGAGTGCTCGCGTTTTGCTAACGTAGCGTCGCTGTGCCCAGCGTAGGCGTGCATCAACGTTACGTGGGAGTATATTAGGCTCTTCATGATGCACTCGAAGCCGTTTCACTAGCTCCGCATATACCAAATTTGGTGTTACGTCACGTCAATGGATGACGAAGGTTTGTGAATGGTGCAAACATGCTAATATTGAGACACGCGTCATGTAAGAACATGACAACATACCGCGCTCATAGCGTTCTTGTGGCCGTTTCGCTAGCTCCACATATACTAAATATGGCATCACGTTACGTGAATAGATGACGAAGGTAAACGACACATCCAAACATGATAATCATGACATGGAAGTGTTGTACGGCATAATATACTTCCACCTCTTAACGTTCTGGTGATTTGAAAGTGGCATATCAACCTTCCTCATTCGTGCTTCGCATATCATTGATTCTCACTGTACGTGGGATCTGCAAATTTTTTTTTATGTAGCTCTGGCCTATTACGTCAGCTACAATGCTCTTGTTCCTCGCCTTCTTTTTTGTACGTGACACTTTTTTGTATTTTTCCTTTCTCCCGAAATGTAGGGTAACAGACCACAAGCTTCTCTGTCAGTGAACCATCTTGTTGCCCTAGCTTGAGTTGTCTTTTTCGCTCAGACACGTAATCAGGGCCGTCTGTTTTAATTTTTGAATCGAGCCCACGACTCCCTCTGCCGGGCTCGATTCCCATTCTTCCCATTTCCCTATTTCAGGAGGCCTTCCACATGGTTCAGTATATTAACGCTTCATTTTTCACTCCCATTTCATGATTCTCGTTTTTTATTTTTATTCTTCCGATTTCTCGCTGATTTTTTCTGTGTGGTTTTTTCTTTTTATTTGATATCTTTTATGAAGACTGTCTGTCCGATTTTAATTTTTTTAATATTTTATATTTGTGTACTCCTGCACAAAGACTTCATGTGGTTGTTCCTGGACATGTTAAATAACTTAATGATTCTTCTCATTACAACAACAACAACAACAACTACTACTACTACTACTACTTTTACTACTACTACTACTACTACTACTACTACTACTACTACTACTACTACTACTACTACTACTACTACTACTACTACTAACCAGCCAGTTAGCTGGCGGAAGCAGGCGGCCAGCGCAGTCCAAGCAGAAGACCCATTATAGTCCTCTGCTAGAGATCAGATACCGGTTGTTTGTAGAGTATGTTCGTCAACTTGCAAAATGTTGCGGTATACTCTATACGTTGCGTGATACGTCGCATGCAACAAAATATAAATAGATGAATTCAAACGGCACGTTTTTCGTTTGTCGTACCGCATGTCGACTGATCTAACTCCACTTTGTTCAATGGGCAGAGATGCAGCAGGTATTAAGTATCAGCGAAAGCAGTACACTTTAAACCATTTATATACAGCTTTACAGAATCTTTCTTCTCATTCTTACATTGCTCTTCGGTTTTTCCCAAAACACTTCTCGAGGATAACCACAAGCAGGGCCGTGGACAACAGAAGGAGAGGGGGGACAGGGGTACTCTCAGAATCAACGGTATAAAATATACAATTAGGGAGATTCATTTCAAAATTAGAACTTTGGGGTAATAAGAAAACCGTATTTAAGAGGTCACTTAATTTAAATAGTGTAATTCTTGCTGAAAATAATTGCTGAAAAGTAGATGCTTTGCCATAATAGTCAAGGATATCAGGAAGTGTAGCTATACCCCCTCGCCAATGAAAACAGCTGGCTACCAGCCCAACCGTATAGCCTCGGATGCAGATTTGTATATGCTCAGGATGTGCAATAAAACATTAGTGAAAAAAGAAGCGCTTGTCCTGTCGTGATATTGTGTCGTCCAGGTGTTGTGCACCATATTGCTTCTAAAGTACGATGAACTACGAACACGCCAAAACGTCTTCCCTTCGGACTGTAAAACTCGCTCTTGACTTTGTTTCTCATGTTGTTCGGTTGTGGCAGCTTCAGTCCTGTAGCTACCGGTGCACAAACCGCACTTTGCGTTTGAAGAGTTCTGCAAGCGGCATGTTGACCGCTTCAAGGTCGTGCAGCTTGTCGCCTTCCGGGAGAATGCGATACTTCTGCACCAGGCTGGTGAGGTACAGGAATATCTCCACGGAGGCCAAGATCTCGCCGGGGCACATTCGTTTGCCTGCGAAGCAAATACCAGCGTGGAGACGTATAAATACGCTCGTCAAGCAATACTCTAATTTCGTTCTCTACGATAATTAATTCTAAGAGCAAGAGGGCAAGGATAGCTTTATCGAAATGAAATGTTCTCTTGACTAAAGAAACTTTCCCTTGCCGCACGGAAGGAAACTCGAAAGAAACACAACTTCAAAGAAATCGGAATACAAAAAATTCGACAGAGTCCCCGTATACCTGGGGAATCGACGGTGTACGAGGCATGCCGAGGGAAGGTGACCGGGTTATAATTTTTTTTATGGAGCGATACTTCATGAAGTGACGCTAACTATATGTATAAATTGTGCACGCACAGACATATGCTGAAGAGTTGCAGATGTTTATATGCAACCAGTTGTTTGCACTTGCCAACGAAGCCAACAAGAACATGAGTATTAGCAGCACCAGAATCTGATATAAAGCGCTGGTACTCGCGAGGGTGGCAGCTCCGGACACTGCTACATAAACCGACTTCAGCGCAGGACACTAAACTACAATTGACGTTAAACCGACGGGACGGTTTTATCACAGGAGTGCGTATGTAATTTTTATAAAATTCAATGGATCCAGAACTACAACCTTGCACATTCGACGTCTCACGAAGATTAGCGTCTATTTGAAAAGTAGTTCCGAGACCTGGCATGGCTCTGTGGTAGAATGCTTGATTGCCACGCAGAATGATTGGGATCGATTCCTGCTGCGACCCTGATATTTATTCTTTGCATTTGCCGGGTAAACGCTGCCGTTGTCAGGCTTTCATTAACGCTCACGCGTTAAAATTGCCCACGTATGTTCTCGTCATTCTTGAGCAGATAGTAAGCTTCATTTGCCTGTGGCACATAACCGCGCGCGGGTATGTGCCACAGTCTGAGGGGAAGTGTTTGACGACGTGTGCGACGGAATTGTAAGATTAGTCATGTCTTAACCAGGGCGCCCCATTTGCCAAACCATCTTTGCCTCCCATGCTAATTTTGCTTCGCGCCAAACTAAGGCGGTGATCACGAGAGCACGCAGACGTAAGCGGCTACATAGATAGATAGATAGATAAATAGACTGACAGATAGATAGATAGATAGATGAATAGATAGATACGCAGATAGAGGGCAAAAACGCTAGCAGTACGCAAAAAAAAATGCTTCGCATATAATAAAATTGGAGATGTTCTGAAACAGTTCACTGATAAGAACGAGAGATTAATTTATATTAAAAAGCTACAAAAAGAAACAAAACAGTGAACTAACACTTCACAATGATAACGCTTCAACGTCAGAGGAGGAGCTTGGGAAGCATAATTGTTCGTGTGATGCTCGCTCACAGTATACACTTCGAGAAAATGTGAGGTCGCTAAAACCAGGTTTAGAGTTCTTTAAGGGAATCGTGTCTTGCTGGCTTGCACGAGCACTTCATATTTTATGTTGCTTGTTTGAAATTTACATTGAACAATGACCGTTGGTTTTGTGTTGTGTACGAAAGAAAAACGAAACAAACAAAAAAAAAACGAGCCCTTCATTCACCCTTCTCCTTTCGTTAGCGCACTGCATGTGTAACGCAGCTCAATTTTGGCGTTATGCGAATCACTACGTGTGTTTGCACGAAAAAGCTTCTAACGAGACTGAGCTTTACGTAGCGTCGTATGTGCTTCACGTTGCGTCGTCATGCTTTAATGGAAGATAGATGACTATAGGGGAATGCTCCCGCGTGAAGGAGGCGGGAGAGTTTCCCTATATAGCGTGCAAGTCGAGATAGAGGCATTAGAAGTGAGACAATATATAATGAGGCCGCTGCAGTATGTGTTGCATCGCGCGTCGTTAAACTAACCCCAGGCCGCCGTAGCGCTGAATCGTTGCACAGCGCTTCGTCTTGCGATATTGCCAGTAGGCCGTATGAGCCGCGTCGTGCGTTATACACGCTGATTAGGTTTTAAATGATGCAATATCCCGAGTTTCGACTGTGTGGTTATAAAGTAACGTAAACTGCGCTGAACCGCGCCCGCTGGATGAAAAAAAAAGGTGGCTGAACTATCTAACTGTCAGAATAAGGGCGCTTATACCCCGTAATGAGCTTCGTGGCAGGATGCTGAAACGGCGACGCTGGGGCAAGTCCTGCTTTTTAATGGTGCAGTGATTAGGCCGCAAAGCAAACTTTAGCTGTGCAGTGCATGTTGCCACGTGCATAATAGAGAGCATTATAACTCAATGATTTTTCTTTTTCCAAATTGGTGCATTACAAGCCAAGATAGAAATTAACTTCAAGCCGTGCGCAAACATAACGTGAGCGGGCGAGCGTGGTATACCCTTGCCGCTTGTTCTGTCTAGCCTTCCAAAGCCAAGCTCATTTCCTTCATTTCCCTCTTGCCGGAGGGTCACGTGACGAGCACGCATAATCACGCCACGCACACGTCACAATGCGTGGACGAGACTGTCGACGCCTAAAGAAAGTAGACGTGCTTTCCTTCCTTTCTGTGCAGAATATCCATAGAGTGTCTCAATGTCGTCCTCGCTGAACGCCGCCTAACGAAACTTCAAAGTTTCATCAAGTGGCCTTACCTCGCTAGAGGCGGGCAAGGAGGACATCCAGGCTGTCTTCGGTGGGCGGCGCTGCTTTACTCACAATCAGTGTCGTACGTCGTCGCCCCCATCTTGGAGCACGGTGAACGCGAGAAAAACAGGCAACACTCCATTTGAAATGCGAGCTTTTTTTTCCGCAGCGCGTAGCGATGTATACCTGTTGGCAGACACGGTCGTGAGCACGCAATGTATGCGTTTCGCTTGTCAGCTCAAAATGGCCATACCTGCCGGCCATTTTACCAAGCCAGCGAGAACGTGTGCGTTAATGATTATAGCTGTGAATGGTTACGTAGAAGGTTCATGTAGCATACGTCACACATCAAAATAAAAAAAAATGTAGAGGCAGTTTCTATACCCACTAAAGATGTGTTATTATTATTTTATTATTAGGAGAAAGATAAGTTCAGGGCTATCCGCCTAGCTTTGAATGCCACGATATCAGTAAGCGGCAGCCAACGCGCACTGCAAAGCGTTAAAATAAAATATATTGCTTCTGTGTTTCTGTGAATAGGCGATGTTTTACTTGAGAGCAAGGAAAAAAAATGATGGAGTTGAACTGGTTATATTAATAAATTGAGAAAAGTGCCGAGAAATTGATTCATATGTGGGGTTTAACGTCCCAAACCACCATATGATTATGAGAGAAGCCGTAGTAGAGGACTCCGGAAATTTAGACTACCTGGGGTTCCTTAACGTGCACCCAAATCTGAGCACACGGGCCTACAAAAGTGCCGAGAGAAACAAAGGATTAGTTGAGGTCGAAAGAGATTAAGCAGATGGCGGGAAGAAATATTCAGGCCCAATATCGGGTTGACTGGCACAAGGACAGTGTAATCGGAGATCGCTGGAGGCTTTGGTATACACTAATAATTATAGTCCATAATTCAGGGATTTCATAAACTTTTCACACTTTCTGAAGAGACGTTAGAGCTAATGACGGCTACAAAGGACACTCGCCCCTTCTGGCAAATTAATGAAATTGAGTGACCCATAAGGGACGAATGAAAAACGAAGAGCTACAGCAGTGCACTACAGCTTCATAGTTTCCAATAAAAACACTAGAGGAAATTCTGACGCTAGTGTCTATGGAAGCTGCAACGCATGGTGCTTCAGCGAGCATGGGAATTCTGGGTTTTTTGCTTAATCTTAGTACTTTTGGCTCCGTGTGCTTCGCGTGGCTTGAAGCTGCTTCGTTACGAAACAACAATCAACAAATGTTCAGCAATCGCACTTCACCACTTCAGCCTATTAGACTCACCTATTAAAATCAGGTAACGAAGCTCACAACGGTCCATTCTTTTATTCAAAGCAAAACCAAAACACAACATTTAACGAAGCCACACGTGCGTTTGAAGCCAGCAATCGACTCACATGGCTGCTGAATGATCGCAGCGCCACCGTCTCCTCCAGGTAACTTTAGGAAACCTTATCGGTAGCCTAGCTCAAGACGTATATAGATAAATAGATAGACAGATGGATAGATAGATAGATATATAGATAGATAGATAGATAGATAGTTATGGAACGAAATCGTAAGCAGGGTAACACAAAAAAGACTAAGGATACGCCCGTCTGGTTCGTTACCCTTCAAAGAGTGAGGGACATGAAGAAGGAAGAGAGGGTAACAGTCACGCGTGCACCTGAAGGGCGCATGTGGTTAATAGGTCTCGGCAACCACAAGTGGTTGCAGAGATGTATTAACCACTGACCATGCTAGAGGGGTTAGGAGGGCTTCAATACTCCGAGAGTTTCAAATTTTGCATGCGCTCGCGCGCACACACACACACACACACACACACACACACACACACACACACACACACACACACACACACACACACACACACACACACACACACACACACACACACACCACACACACACACACACACACACACACACACACACACACACACACACACACACACACACACACACACACACACACACACACACACACACACACACACACACACACACACACACACACACACACACACACACACACACACACACACACACACACACACACACACACCTACACACACACACACACCTACACACACACCTACACACACACACTCACACAAACTCACACCTACACACACCTACACACACACAAACTCACACCTACACACACCTACACACACACACTCACACAAACTCACACCTACACACACACCTACACACACACACCTACACACACACCTACACACACACGCACGCACGCACGCACACGGACAAGGACACGCGCACACGCACACGCGCACGCGCACACGCACACGCACACACACACACGGTTGAACCCCCTCCCCTACAAAAAATTTCTGACCACGCTACTGCTTTTGACTTTAGGTACATCAGCAACGCCTTCGTTATCTCGTACTTCATCGACGAACAGACCACAACTGAAGAATCTTGGCTGCTGAGAAGGGCTTCGAGTGGAATTGTGAGAGGTAGATGTCAGACATTGTATTCTTACCTATCGAAAAAGGGATCAGGTACTCTGGTCTAGGTTGGATTAAAGAGCCGTCCTCCCTCAAAAAGCGATCCGGGTTGAACCTGGATGGCTCCTTCCAGAGCGTAGGGTCGTTGTGCACCGCCCACACGTTGGGAGAAATAGTAGTTCCTTTCGGGATGTAATAATCGTCAAAGAATGTGTCTTCACCGGCGCTGGAAGGGTCATTGAGAAAAAGCAAAGAGGAGCGTCAGTCGACTGTGTCATTTGAAACTTTGATGTACTGCTCTCTTTTCGGCAAAAAAAAAGTTAGGAAATATGTCTTATGACAACGTACCTCGAGGACGAGCTAATGGAATAGTAAGTGGAGGTTGGTGAATGGTAAATTTGAATTTCGAAGCGAATTCGTAGCAAATGAAGAATTGGTCAAATAATTTCGCGTCAAATAGTTCGGGTAGTCTGTATCAGATAATGATGCGTCACTATTTATGATCAAAGAAAAATGCGCTACCTGCTCAGTTGGTTTCTGGAACACGTTAAAGAACGCCCATGTGGGTCAAAATTTTTGGAGCCCTCCACTACAGCGTCTCTCATATATATATCATGGTTTCGGGACGCTAAGTCCCAATACTTAATGTTATTATTATTATTATTATTATTATTATTATTATTATTTCGGGAACACCATCTAAATCTCCTCGTGATCCCTGTAGCACCAAATGTAACCGAAATGCTTATCACACATAGCTTTCACGCGGAAGCATTTCGTTTACCTCCTGGGCACGCCGAGTGGGGACATGGTCGTCCACCGGTACATCTCCCAGATGCAGGCCATCGTGTAGGGCATCCTGTTCCTGTCCTCCCACGCGGGTGGCCTCTCCCTGCCCACCACTTCGTCGATCTCGCGGAAAATCCTGGACTGCACCGTGTCCGGCTTGTCGGCCAAGTTGATGAAGTGCCACTGGAGCGTCGCTGCCACGCTGTTCGAACCAGCGATGAAGAAGCTGAGCACGTTGCCCAGGAGATATCTTTCTGGGTGGCAAACAGGTCGACGTTACAAGCTGCGTTATGATCATGACATTCTAAAAAAAATATCGAGCGAAAGCTGTAGCGCGCTACCTGCAAAGCAGTGATGCGCCTGCGCGTCCTTTGCGTTTACTTCGTGCTTATCGGCTCTTTTTCGCTCTTTTGTTCAGTTGATCTGCTCGTATGTGCGCATTTATTTCCTTTCCGTGCGTTTGTGTCATCATTGTCTGCTCTTTTCTTGTTACTATCGAATTTGTTTGGACATTATGCGTGTCCCGTTTAATGATCTATTTCGTACTGCGACGTTCGCCTCTTTACAGAGGGCCAAGCTGCTCGGCATGACGACACATCGTACTTGCTTTGCGTCACAGTGACGCTGCAAAAGGGATCGCAGACGCGTGCGCACGTGATTCGTAGCTCAAACGGACTTACCAAATGGAGTGTTTAAAAAGGCACGAGAAAACGTCGACTCACGCTCAAAATGCGAATTCGGATCGGCCTCGTTTTCGTTGATCTTTTTCAGATAGCCGTCTATGAAGTCACGGTTGACGTGCTCGTCGAGGGTCGCCTCGTGCTCCTTGATCTGTGTTCTGCATTGAGCAGAAAATGCACGGGATCACTGTTAAGGTGGTACAGTAGGACGGGATCTTCTTTAGCACACCATTTGACTTGCGCAGAAAAAATATCGCCGAGTGATGACGTCACCATGCGTCGCCTAGCAACGCGTCGAAAGAAGGAAAAAAGTAGGAGGGGAGCAACGGAGTTGATTCAGAGAAGAAATTAACAAAACAAAAATGAAATTCGTTGCCTAGGGGGATTGAAATTCGGGTACCCACTGTTCGAAGGCGAGCGTCGTAATCACTCGGCTTTTCAAACACGCGAGCAGAACAAGCATTTATGGGAACATTTTTTTCCCTATTCCACATTACTCGATATGCGGCAGCCGTGACTAGAAATCAAGTAACGTTTTCTCGTCTCTGTTTTTTTTTCTTTTAGGGGCGAAGCTCCTTAGGGCGTGGGCTGTGCGTCCCCTGCAGCCTGTATGTAGCCACCTCTAGTTTAGTTCTTGCAGTGTTCACTAGATGGCGGTACCATCCCCTGTATGTAGCCACCTCTAGTTTAGTTCTTGCAGTGTTCACTAGATGGCGGTACCGTCTCCTGTATGTAGCCACCTCTCGTTTAGTTCTTGTAGTGTTTACTAGATGGTGGTACCTGTAGCTGATGATGAAAAGATGCAAGATGTTATAAACTAGAAAGCGGTACTTGTAGTTGATGAAAGACGCGAGATCTTATAAAATAGGAATGATGTCACATATGGCGCGTGTCATTGGTTGAAGGCAATCGTTCGATTTAGTGCGGCGACGTACGCTAGGGGGGCGTTGTAATAAAATCCGTTCGCTGTTGGCGCGCGCTCGGAGTCGCCGGATGGATAAGGCTGCTCAGCGGAGAGAGCGCAAGGCGGCAGCAGCGCGCGCACAGTTTACCGATGAATCCCTCCGGAGCTTCGCCCATTCATCATCATTCACCCCGTGAATATGCCGTAATTTTTTTTTGGGCCCCATGAGCAGTACGAGAAGACAAACTGGCTCATACAAAGGTTCCGGAAGTCGCATTCACGTCCCCACGCTCAGAAGGGCAATACCACTGCCTCAAAAGTGCCTTTGCGCTGCTGAGCAGCTAAATACACAGGAAATGCCATTCGTTGGCTCTTTTCTTCCACATATGACGCATCAATAAGCAGACCTGCACGCGTTTTCGATCAATCCTGATTCTACGCTCAAGCATGGAGCGGATGGAAAGTTACGCATCTCGTATGATTGAAGAACTCTGCCGGATGCGGAAAACAGAAAATACATATCGCATATGATTCCACGTGCCTGCTTTAAATGTACTCAGAAAGCATGTAGAGTATACGTTTCCGCAGCAGATTCACCGGCTTTCGACCTAACCGCTGCGTGGGAGGCAGTCACAAAGGGCCCGAAGAAGGAACAATACGGAAAAAAAGTTGTTGCGAAAGCTGCGCCAAGGTTCGGAGTACGTCGGGACCGAGCAAATCGGACACAACGATGTCGTAGCATTGGATGCGTCAGGCGAAAATATCTACATATGTGGGGAAGGGGCTGCATATTCCACATCCACGAACACGGAAGATTTGCCTTGCGCAAGAACGCCGGCTTGCGCAAGGGTGCATTTCGTAATGCGAACCATATTGACAATACTACCACATTGTGATTGATTGATTGATTGATTGATTTGTGGGGTTTAACGTCCCAAAACCACCATATGATTATGAGAGACGCCGTAGTGGAGGGCTCCGGAAATTTTGACCACCTGGGGTTCTTTAACGTGCACCCAAATCTGAGCACACGGGCCTACAACATTTCCGCCTTCATCGGAAATGCAGCCGCCGCAGCCGGGATTTGAACCCGCGACCTGCGGGTCAGCAGCCGAGTACCTTAGCCACTAGACCACCACGGCGGGGCTACTACCACATTATGAAGGCATCATCTGCGACTCAGCTACTGTTGTAAGGAAGGGCCTAAAGAAACGTATACACAGGTACCCCGCATCCACATCCCGCATAAGTACTCCGCAACCCCCGTTCCACTGTTGATTCAGGAAGGGGGAGGGGGGCAGGGTGCGTCCGCTTCCCGTAATAATAATAATAATAATAATAATAATAATAATAATAATAATAATAATAATAATAATAATAATAATAATAATAATAATAATAATAATAATAATAATAATCGTGGGTGTTTAACGTCTCAAAACCACCATGTGGTTATGAGCGACACCATAGTGGATGTCTCCGTCAATTTCGTCCACATTGGGTTCTCTGACGTGCACCGATATCTGAGCACACGGGCCTCAAGCCTCTTCGCCTCCATCGAAAGTGTGGCCGCCACGGCCGACACTCGATTCCGCGACCTGCAGGTCAGCATCCGAGTACCTCAGCCACTGTACCACCTAATGTGAGCGCTAAGACAGCCTCGTGTTTTTGTTAATTTATATCTTTCCTGTGATTATTTGATGTGCAAGGTTTTAGCCATGCAGATTTTAGGCAACAGGCGGCGGAGAAACACTTATGTTCTTTCCAAGAGTGATTTTTCTTCCTACTTTAACCTCTTGAAGGTGGGGGCCGAATACATGCATTTATAGATAGCTAGATAGATACTGATATTATATACTGGTACAGAGATAGATACTGGTAGATAGATACTGATATTGAAGAATGCTTACTTGGCGTCTTCAATGAACTTCCAGAGTTTGGAGACAATGGCTGTCTGGCGCAAAAAAGGCAGCTTTGAAACAACTTCGAGGAGGAAGGGAGGTACGAATTCAACCAGGCTACCAGCGAAAATAGCCTTGAACAGGTCGCTGAGGAGGCTGTTGAGGAAACGGCGACGAGGATGACCGAACGGGTACCGGCTGCCATACACCAGTGCCGAGATGTTGTTGGACGTGCTGGTGAGCAGGTAGTCGTGGAAGGTGATCGGCTCTCCTCTCGCTTCGGCCACTTCCTCGATTATGCATCGACACTCGTTCTGCGTTGAAACATTGGTCGAGGAGGACACATCTCATCTTTAACATTTTCACAAAGCAATAGTCTCACCGTCCAAAATCTCTTTTGCGCGTGCGTAGGCTGGCTCTACCCCTCTTCGAAGATGCCTCGATCAGTCATTCAACATGTACGTTTTCACAGAGCAAAGCGACGATCACCCAGTGAAGCGGAAAGGGCGTCTCGCATGTATCTTTTTTGTGTAGTTCTAGCTTCGCGCTGTCTAAGTGCAGTTACTATTAATCAAAATCAATACGCGATGGTAACTGAACTTGACATATTTAAGTGCAGTTGCCACCAACTAGCCCAAACTTATTCACTGAACAGTTGTTTAATTCGATCCCTTAATCAGTAGGATATTGGTTAGGGGACCTGATCCGCAAGGAAGCAGCAGAAGACAGTGAAACCAGGGATGACCACACACACAAAAAAGTTCTTCTTAAATCAAGATCATTTCATTGAACATCTTGTTACCCGTGAATGAGTGTAAGGCATATGTAGATGTTTAGGCTGCCTCCTAAGGTTGACTTGCCTTAATATGCTCCTCCATGGTAGTCTTGCCGAAACCAAGGTTCCGGAGGACGTGAAGGCAGAACCTCCGGTTGTGTTCCCACACTTCACCGTTCATCGTTGCGACACCTAGTTGGTAAATAGGATGGACCAGTTACAATGATTGCGTTGTGTAACTTTGCATTACTCGCACTTCGGGGATTTAGTCCCGGGTGTTCGTTTTGGACATAAATTGCACCAGGTGCAGGACTCTTTTGGTAACAAAAACCAAATGGCCCGAAAAGCTCGAGTCCAGCCTGAAATATTGATTTTTTGTTGTGCACAGACTATACAAGTGCTAAAAGTTACTATGTGTTCTGAAAGAAAGCAATAAAATGCCTTTTTATTGGCGGCTAGTTAACTGCGTAAGGAAACCAGGAATCAGTAAGGAACGCGAGGCGGGCGCAAACTAGCAATTGAAATGTTATTATCAGATGCACACATATAGTACTAGTACACGTGGTCAGGATAGCAAATTAAATGTTTAGTAATGAATCTCTAGTTCATGGTGTTTTCTCGCATTTTATCGCCACAATGGTGTGCGAAATCACCCAGTGCTTCGTTCTTATAAGGCTATATATACATGGATGGGGTAAAATTGAATATTCCAATGTGCAGCATGAAACTGCGCACAAAAGAAGTGCGCACTTGGTTTTCAAAAGGGAAGGCTTTGCACTTAACGAAGTTTATGTTTGTACGCTCGGAGTGGTACCTTTTCTGAATGGTCTCCTTACAACGAGAGTTAATAAAGAACACTTGTAGATCGCAGAATGTTGCTTAAATAACCAACAACCCAAATCCCAAGGACACCGAATATGTCAGCTCCGTTCTTCAGCAGCCTACAGGGTGGACATGCGTAGCTTTTGTAGTTGAGAGTAAAAGAAGTGTTGCTAATACTTTTTTTTTCCGTTTAGGGAACCGTGCCCCACCTTGCGGTATTTCTCAGACATTGGGTGGTGGATGCTTAGGTACTGCACTGCATGGAATTTGCGCGAGCTTATGTATAAACTTGAGTGACGCATCACCACCCACCTGTCGGTCTTGAATATTTTTAGATGCAAAGCAGCTTAGGTTCGAGATAAGTACGGTGTGCGGCGTGACCAACCTCACGCCGCGTTCACGCTGGGCGCTCGAAGAGAGCGAAAGTGGTGAAACTCTCCGGAAACTGGCTGGTTTCACCAACCATTGCAAGTGGCCGGAAAACCACGTCGCGCGGCCGGCGCACAATAATTGGCCCGAGACCACTTTTTCCGCCACGTAAAAGCAGATCCGGTTTTCGCTCCAAGGCTTTGGCGACGTTATATCAAACGTGATCTGACCAGCCACCGCAGATTCATCATGGCGGCGAAGGCGTCGGCAGTGGCTCGCATCGGCTTAAATCGCAAACTACCCGTGCAGCACGGGTAGCTTGACGGCCTCAACGAGGATGCGTTCATCGACAGCAGGGTTTTGATTTCGATCGCTGAGAACTCTGGAATTAGACGGTGCAGCAGCAGCGAGTCGGCATGCCCCAAACGTGTCTCGCGTTTGTGTACAGCCCGCTGAATCCGCCACCGCCGTTGCCGGTGCATTCGCTCGTGTTGTTTCTGCTGGCTTATCTCCCGAAACAGCGTTTGAAAAGGAGCGAGCTTTTTCTTTTGAGTACTTTGCGTGAATAACTGGAATTTGGTACGAAATTTAGTGCTCAGAAAGCAGGTAATATTCAATTAATTCTCAAGGTCGTGACGACAGCGCCAGCGTAAGGGGCAGAATGAATGTGAACATTCTCGACGTGCGTGGTCATGGTTTTCCGGCCCCTCTGGCAATTTCGTTTTGGCTTCACTTCTCAAGTGTGAATGCGCACGAAAGGACCAAAAGCGGCAAATGTCACCGAAAATTCACTCGCGTCGCTGCCTCAGCGGCCGGAAAACCCCACCACGAGGCCGGAATAAAAAAATCAATCCAAGATTAATTTTCCCACTACGAGAAAGCGGATCCGCTTTCCGCTTCATTGCTTTGGCTACACTAGATCAAACCACGCGATCTAACCAGCAAGCTGCAGATTCAACATGGCGGCAAAGGCGTAGGTGGTGGCTCGCGTCGGTACAAATTGTAAGCACCCAAAGTTACGGCGAAGCTTGACGGCCTCAAACAGGACGTGTTCATTGAGAGCCTGGTTTGGGTTACGATCGCCGAGAACACCGGAAGTAGATAGTGTAACAGCAGTGAAGTCGGCACGCACCAACGTGTTTCGTGTTTGTGTACAGCCAGCTGAATCCGCAACCATTACTGCTGGTGTGTTCGCTCGTGTCGTTTCTGCTGGCTTATGTCCAGAAACAACGTTTTAAAAGGAGCGAGTTGTTTCGTTTTAGTACTTTGCGGGAATAATTACAATTCGGTACGATGCGAAGCAGCTGCGAAACAGGTGTTTGAGTCCCATTTGTAACGCCGTATGTACGCGCGTCCTTACGAAAGCGCCGCAGCACGTTCCCCTCACCGCAGTTGTTGGAGACGTGCCAAGTAGGTCACGCCGCAGCGGCACGTTGGTCACGCTCTTCTCGCGCGCTTCCCTCGCACATGCGCGCTGACGCCACTCTATCGATCACCCGCAGCATGCTCACCGCAGCGTCCGCAGCCGCTGGCTCCTCCGCCCGCACACAACACACTTCTCTCTCACTTCAACCCCTCCATCACCAGCAACGCTCAACCGCTCGTCAAGTGGAAATACTCTCTCGGCTCATTTATCTGCGATGAAACTTACACGAAAACCAACCCGCCTACCATGTCCTTGCGTTTCAAACAAACGTTTACTCGAGTAAACGCTACAAGGAGTATCGCTTCAAACTGTTGTTCCAGCACTCGCGTCAACACCTGTATCAACCAGGGCAACGCCGTGCGCACTGCTGCTGCTTCACATTCTATCAGGGTTCCCTTGGGGGAGATGGTCCATAATTTATATAGGAACGGGATCGTGACCTCCAAGGTAGTGCTGGTGGGAGATTTCTCCTGATTGATTTGATATGTGGGGTTTAACGTCCCAAAACCATCTGGTGATTATGAGAGACGCCATAGTGGAACGCTCCGGAAATTTCGACCACCTAAAGTTCTTTAACGTGCACCCAAATCTGAGCACGCGAGCCTACAACATTTTCGCCTCCATCGGAAATGCAGCCGCCGAGATTTCTCCTGAGCGTTGCTGAACAGTAAAAGTTCACAGCGTGCACGTTAACTAAAAGCGGTATAGGTGTATAAGTATCAAATCGGAGTCTTCTGTCTATCAATGCCGATGAGCGACGATTGGCATGTTTCAGTAAGAAACGCCGGTCCATCACTGCGTGCTTTGGGCCTCCCCAGATTTCTATCCAGCGCAACGCCGCGATGACCGCCAGCGTCAACGCCGCCGCCAGTGTAAGCGTTAGAACCCACTGCTTCACACATACACATGGTTTCTTTTAGCGGGAGATGGTGCAATATTTTTTCTTGTATACGTATACGTTACCACCAAGTCTTAATGAGAAAAAAAACTGTTTTGTACTCTAGATGTATAGATTTTATATGCATTTCATGCAGAAAACCGTTCTTATACTTCGTTTAAAATGATATGATGCACCATAGTCGTTGCTAATACGTGTAACAAGTGTGTAACATTACCTCCATGCACCGTTCCCCTGAACAACCAGTTGACTGGGCGGTACAGGATTTCTCTCTTAGTGAAGAACTTCTTTATGGACTGGAAATCATTCAGAATAACCATATCTGTTGGACCCGTCTTTATTCTGCATATGAAAGATGAGGTAAAATCACAAAGTGCAATCAGAAAAGTGAGTTTGATTAGTTTATATTTTTTTCGCGCTTGCTGTCGTACTTTAACATTGTGAGAGCGATTTCTTTAAAAAGATTGTTTGTGTTAAGGTTTTACAACTGCTATAAGAGTCAAGCGAGCTAGCTTAAGGGGAAAAAATAAAGTGAGGCATCGTTCCACGCAGGGGTGGATAGCCAGCGCAGTCGTGGTGCACCGTGCAGCTTTATACAGTGGTACATGCATTTGTCTAGTTTCACCACTTGACAGTGGTAGTAAATCTAGCTGTGTGATTACTGATTGGTTCGCGAAGAGCCATGGATAGATTTTCTTGCGAGGTTACATCTTTGCCTGACCACTGTTGTGCAGTTGCATTACTTGGATTGGTGTTAACACATCAAACAGAATACCCAGGAAGTACAGACTAACATTGTCTAGGGTTTTGGGTGCAAAAACAACTTTATGAATAATAGGCGTGCCGCAGTGGGAAGGCTCCGGAAGTTTTGTCTACCAGGTGTTCTTTAACGCGTGCACTGACAAAGCACTGCACATGGGCCTCTAACATTCCACCTCTGTCGAAATGCGACCACTGCGGATGGAATCGAACCCGCCACCTTCGGGTAAACAGCACAGCACCGTAGCGAGTGCACCACTATACCGGTGCCACATGGGCACTTTTAATTTTGATCAGGACTGATTCAGATTTCACTTTTCGATGGCGATAACAAGTTGGTAGCTGATACTGGTATGGCCTGATCCGGATCGAGTTTACGCCGCGGCGCCTGACCCGGATAGAGGCTAATCTAAATGGGTTTTGATTGCCATGAAAACTGCTCCCGTATAACACGAGTATTATATAGTTTTAGCGAGGCCACCTTAATTTTGTCATCACGGTGAACTCATGCTAAAAGCACCGTCTTGAACTTCTCGGTGCCACACTTGGCATCACTGGGTATCGCCTAAAAATGTGAAGTGGCATCACCTCTGCAACTTCCTCTTGTGTCGAGAGGAAAGGCGCATTCTGTTGGGCAGCAGCTGCTTTTATATAAAACCCTGTGTACTTTGCGTGCAACTGGCCGATTCATCCTATCTTCGAATACCTGCCAGTCGCATGCGTATACCACTTGCGCAAGTGCATTCGACAAGTATTTTCGCTTCAAATTAAGTGAGGGACTAGCGGGTGGCCGACATTTGGCTCATGTGTACGAGTACTGCGCATGGAATTGTCACCTATTCCAATGAGCCAACACGAAAAGCCATTACCATTCTGTGGCCGGCGATGCAACGAGCAGCTTAGAAAGGGCCATCTCATTACATCTTGCACGCAATCTGTGCCGTTTGTTATGCACGTACTAACACAATTAATGAGTGCAGGAGGACTGCATTGGTATCTAAAAAGGCCATCTCATTACTTCTTGCACGCAATTCGTGTTGGTTGTTATGTACGTACTAACACATTCAATGAATGATGATAGATTGATATGTGGAGTTTGGCGTCCCAAAACCACCATAGGATTATTGGATTAGTGGAGGGCTCCGGAAATTTCGATCACCTGGAGTTCTTTAACGTGCGTCCAAATCACAGTTAATGAATGAAGGAGGACGGCATTGCCACACAGTGAATTCCGTTTTGCAAGGCAGAGCTGAAATATAAATGGCACATTTGTGTTCAATAAACGTCCTTCACTTTGCCGTAGTGTTTTGCGAGATTGCATGGCTTCTGAAACAAAGACATTAGTGTTTGTTGACTGCAGGGTTGTAATGACGAGAACAGTAAAAGCTGTTCGTTTTTTCAGGTGCTATGCAATTCATTAGTGATTCGCGAGAGTTTTGGCTTACGTTGCTATAGCAAGTGGCCGCAGGACGAACGGAAGAAAACATTTAGATGTAAATACAAACCTATCAAACGTTCGTAAACAATAGGGAATCATCCGCAACGAGAAAAGTAAAAGATGTTCGCTTTCTACTGTGCTACGCACTTCATTAGTGATTCGCGAGAGTTTTTTGTTTACGTTGCTATAGGAGCTGAGTGCAGAGCAAACGGAGGGCAAAATTTAGATGTAAATACAAACCTATCTGAATGGTCGTAAATAATAGGGAATCAACCGCGACCACATCACTACATTGGACAGGTCAGTCGGTAAAGAAGGGGAATCCTAAAGCTTCGCCTTTAAGAGCAACGGTGATATTCGCGGAGATGTGTCTCATACTCGCACGCACGCACGCACGCACGCACGCACGCACGCACGCACGCACACACACACACACACACACACACACACACACGCACGCACGCACGCACGCACGCACGCACACACGCACACACGCACGCACACACGCACACACGCACGCACACACGCACACACACACACACACACACACACACACACACACACACACACACACACACACACACACACACACACACACACACACACACACACACACACACACACACACACACACACACACACACACACACACACACACACACACACACACACACACACACACACACACACACACACACACTATATCGTCTTAGCAATTGCCAGCCTACCTTCAAGCCAAATGCAAACGTCCTCCGACTCTTTTACGTGCATCTACCTCGAAATTTCGCTCGTGGCCCATCGACACCAGCCACGTGATTTCTTTGAAACGAGCTCTTTAACACTATCACATTAAAAGTGTTGTCAGCAAGGCTTTCACGAGTACTTGACAACCCACATGCAATGAACACAAGTGTACTTATTCTGAATTGCATAAAGATACGGGGGTGGTTACGTTGGTTAGGCAGCTGGGATGTGGCGAATCTTTACCGTGCACTCAGGGAGGCAGTCAGAAAATAGATTTGTCAGTGTTCATTTCACCAGAGCACCACTTGTGTGAACAAAATGCCGCAGCCAGCAATCGGAGCTCCTAAGGTATACAGGTAGAGAGGGTGCGCGCTGCGCCCCCCTTTCCGCTTCCACGTGAACCAGGTCGACAACGACAAAGAGGTTGGGGCGTGGAAAACAATTTCTTGTATACACGTCTAGAATCTGCGCATCTGGCGGCAACCCATATACATATGGGTTGCCGCCAGATGCGCAGATTCTTAAATTAAAAATTTAGATTAGATTAAAATTTAGATTAGATTAAAATCCACCCATATACATATGGGTGGATTTTACCGCCCCCCAAATGACAACAGTACATTCTTCGAGAAACTAAACCAATTCTTATGTGACAACGTCGTCCACATCAATAATTTTTTGATAGCTGGTGACTTCAATCTGCCATCCATTGATTGGAGTAACGAAATTCCGGAGCCTCTTAGCACTGTTGCAGAACAGTTAACTGATCTAGTTTTCTTTCATAACCTTTCTCAGTTAGTCAAAGAGCCAACTCGCATCAGCAACTCAGCGAATTCTATCCTAGACCTTTTTCTCGTTAGCAGAAACCTGCTTAGTAAAGAACCCGTAGTTGCCGTTCTCGATGAAATATCGGATCATAAGTTGATTACATTGACACTGAATCTTGGCCATGTGCCTAAAAAGGAAAACGAAGTGCGTGTTGTCCCGGTTTTCGCACGTGCAAATGACGTGGGCATTTTGGATGCAATGGATGAATCGTTCTCAAATTTTCTTTCTTTCTATCAATCAAGTGATTGCAGTATCGATGAGTTATGGCTATTTTTCAAAAATCTCGTTCTTAAGTGTATCAAAGATTTTGTCCCTATGAAAAGTAAAAGCATAAAAAAATTTTCAAAACCATGGCTTACTAAGGAAGTTGTTCGCCTTGAGCGCAAAGCGAAAAGGATAAGAAAAACGTGCCGGCAACGCCCCTCTCCTGCGAATGTATCGAAACTGTGTGCCATACGCTTGGCTCTTAGGGACAGTATCGCTGAAGCTAAAAATTACTACTTCAACGTGACATTAAAAAACTTTCTCTACACGGCTCCGGCTAAATTCTGGAGACATTTTTCCTCAAAGCAAAAATCGCAGTTAAACCTTACTGTGAACGGTGGCAACGTGTCGGATAAACTACAATTAGCATCGACTTTTAACCGCTTTTTCTGCTCCGTATTTGTACAGGATGATGCTAGTGACCCATCTTTCATTCCTGCAAAAGATGCTCCGTCTATAAGTGATATTTTTGTGTCCGAAGAAGGTGTGCTGTCACTGTTGTTAAAATTGGACACAAAGAAAACTCCTGGAATTGACGGCATACCCAACACCTTTTTAGTCAGGTACGCTGAATGGTGCTCCAAGTACTTATGTTTAATATTTAAAAAATCGCTCTCAGAAGCTCAACTACCAACAGAATGGAAGTACAGTAAAATTATTCCGATACCGAAAGGTGGGGACTCGCGCCAAGTAACTTGTTACAGGCCAATCTCCCTACTGTGCTCCTGCTCAAAGACGCTAGAGCACATAATTTTCGCGCACATATCGTCGTTTCTGGAAAAGAACAACCTTATTGATAATAGGCAACATGGTTTTCGCAAAGGTAAATCCACAGTGACGGCACTCCTTGAAACCGTGCATGATTTTGCTGCTGCTATTGATGCTCAATCTCAAATAGACGTGATTTTTTTGGATTTCCAAAAAGCTTTTGATTGTGTTTCGCATTCAAAACTAATAATAAAGGTTAGGGCAATTCTAAAGAATACTGCATTAGTATCGTGGATAGAGGCCTACTTGCGCCACAGACAGCAATGTGTTTCAATTGATAATGTTTGCTCAACTCCTGCAGCTGTCGGGTCGGGCGTTCCACAAGGGTCGGTGTTGGGGCCGTTATTCTTCCTAATATTTATAAATGACATAGTTGACCAGATACCGGTCAAAATTAAACTATTCGCAGATGACTGCGTAATTTATCACAGAATTGACAACCTTCATGACCACGTCCAACTAAAAGAAGCTCTTCAGCACGTTGAGAAATGGTGTGAAACCTGGCAAATGAAAATTAACCCCCAAAAGACCGTTCTCATGAGGATAACTAGAAAGAATTCACCGCTACAGCTTAGCTACAGCTTAAATGGAAGCGTATTATCCAAAGTAAAATCTTTTAAATACCTAGGTGTCATACTCACATCGGATCTTCGGTGGAATGAGCACATTTCTTACATAAAGAAAAAAGCAGTAACTAAACTAGGATACTTAAGACGAACTTTGCGCCAAGCTCCTCAAGATATGAAGCTATTAGCCTATAAAACGTTTATCCGACCAATAATCGAATACGCATCGATAGTATGGGACCCTCACACGAAAAGGAACATTGTCCACTTGGAAAGTGTTCAAAGAAAATCGGTACGCTTTATTTTTAATATGTACAGCTGGCGGACATCGGCAAGTACGTTAGTGGAAAGGGCTGAATTGGAACCCCTGGAATTACGACGCCACACGGAAAGACTAGGGTACCTATACAAAATTTATCATAATAAAATAGGAATAGAAAGGGATCATTTCATTCAACCTGTAAGTAAGCGAATCACACGTTCTCATCACTCAAAAAAACTACGAGACTATAACTGCCGAACAGATGTATTTCACAACACATTTTTCCCACGAACAGTAAGGGAATGGAACGAGCTCCCAGCCGATGTCGTGGAACGCATGACCACAGCAGATTTCATTTCAACACTTCAGGCTCATTTGACGACTGTGTAATTGTACGAGTTTACTAATCTTCTTTGTATATGTTCACTTGTGTGTTTCTACTTTTATGTATCGTCACCTTATATGAAAGGAAATACATATATTCTTTTATTCCATGTATGTATTACTGGCATTTAGAATATAATGGTTACAGTGTAGTTACCTACTGCTGTGATGATCGATATAACTGATGATATTATTGCTGTAGAAGAGTACCTAGTGTGAAGCATGCCGTTATCGCTTTCTTTTGCGCAGTATGTATATATATCATCTTTGTATTCCCACTCCTGCTTACAGCCTTTTTTAGGCTAGCAGTATTTTGCAAATAAATAAATAAAATATGGTGGCAAGACGAAATGATGTCACGTAGTCAGATCGAGCCTGATCTCAAATCCAGTAATGCTGATGGTATACTTCACATTGGCCTCTAGAAAACTAGCTCAATGCCAATGCGAAGCAACGTCAACATCCCTAGATTATAGAAACCCAGCTCAAGGCCAATGCGAAGCAACGTCAACATCCCTAGATTAACTTGTATATAGAAATAACCCGTATATAACTTTGATTAACCTGTATACTGGTCCATACTGCTTCGCCCACTTCATGGCCTGGTTGCAGTGAAAGTCCCTGTACATGAACTGCGGGTGACCTACGAGGGGGTAGCCAGGAGGTCCCGGAGGCATCTGGTTCCCACGCGGTGATTTCTTGCCCCACAGACATCGGTGCAGACCAAGATAAAGAAGCGAGGCAACCAGCAGAGCACCCGCTAGGGCCACACAGTCCATTGTCTCAGCCTGCGCGACGGAAAATTGATGTTGTCACTCTGTTGCCGATTAGTTCGGGCCGAGGCGCCCAGGGGGATGCACTAGTATCTTTCGGGTGATGAAACTGCATCAGTATTTAAACCCTTGAAGACAATCGAGTGATATCACTTGATTACCTGTAGAGGGTAATCTATTAAGGTCCGATTGAAATTTTGCATGGAAGTGACCTGTTGGATAAGTTATAACACTACCGGTCTACCGGTCTGAACCAGAGGTGGCAAGCACACCAGGCCTTCGCCCCCCCCCTTCTTTGTTTTCGCCAAGGCGTACAAAGCACCAAATTTCATGATTAAAACTGCCTGGCCGGCCACCACTTCAGCTCTAGAGATTCTATTCCATTGTTTTCTTGCGCCTGCTCTTATCTCCACTCTTCTTTGAACTTTGCCGTTCCCCCTGCCCCTACCGTAGGGTATGCCAAACTAGATGGTATATTTTCGTGTTGACCTCCCAGCCTTTCCCACGTTTTTATCTCTCTCAATCTCTGCTACACGTGGGTGTTCTAACGTCCTAAAAGAGTGTGAATGTCACGAAAAAAGTTGAAGGGGAGGACTTTGGTTTTGTTCTCAATGCTTTGATTACGCTGAAGAGGCGCCCAGATAGCTCGTTTTCCCTACCTTCTCCCTCTGGGACATTCCGGATTTTGCTTGGCTGACAAGTGGTTGAACCGTTGACGCTTCGAAAGAGAGCGCCTTGTCTCCGGGACTGCTTACATGCATGCGATGTGGCCATGACTTACTTGGGTTGGTTGTGAGGTTAGGGTACGCGTTATTGTTGTCGTCGAATCGCTTCGGTGGAGTTCACGCTGCTTGGAGCTTAGCCGGCTATGACGAGAGTGCTGCGAGTTACTGCAGCTGCCAACCCGGAAAAAGAAAATGATTAGTATTCTTCCGGTTCGAAAAAAAGCTGTCATCAGCGGGCAGGGTTCTTTGATTTAACAGGCGTATAGCGATTTCCGGCTCTCCTCTCTCCTATATATATATATATCATGGCACTTGTAGGAACGAGAATAGCCAGGAACATGACAGATGCGACAACAACTGTAGCTTCTCGGAAATGCTCAGATGTTGCTTCAATTATTGCATTTATTCGGGGAGATTATTTGCGCCATCGCGTGGCAGTGACAATGCTGAAACACACACACACACACACACACACACATACATACATACATACATACATACATACATACATACATACATACATACATACATACATACATACATACATACATACATACATACATACATACATACATACATACATACATACATACATACATGCACACACACACATACATACCTTACACCTTAACTACATCGAAGTGCGTGCGCATTTATTTCCACATTTTGCATGTCCGTGTCTCAGCTCTGCTCGGGTGTAAGCTTGCTATTCACCTATGTGTCGTGGCACCTGTTTGAGGCACAATATCTGCCCCGCCACGGTGGTCTAGTGGCTAAGGTACTCGGCTGCTGACCCGCAGGTCACGGGATCAAATCCCGGCTGTGGCAGTTGCATTTCCCATGGAGGCGGAAATGTTGTAGGCCCGTGTACTCAGACTTGGGTGCACGTTAAAGAACCCCAGGTGGTCAAAATTTCCGGAGCCCTCCACTACGGCGTCTCTCATAATCATATGGTGGTTTTGGGACGTCAAATCCCACAAATCATTCGAGGCACAATATCTGACAAATGATTACCTCTCTTAATATAGAGAACTTGAATATTATATTGATTCGGAGTTTTTCATGTCTGAACATGTCCGTGGCGATCACCTTAATTTTTCCCCATTCGTTGTGCTTGAATAAGCGGGGTAGCTTATACGCAGGGATAACAAAATGTGCTCCTAATACAAGTGCTCTAAAATAATGTATGTGTGCTTAAAATCTGTCTCGAAATAACTGCACGTACCACAAACGGAGGCGGCGTTTGTAGAACGTTTTCTGGGTAATTAGTTTCACTAGTTGGATGTGGTGATAACTATGAAACACCCGGATTAGTGACGTAGCCAGAATTTGTTTCTGAGGAGAAGGTTAAAGGTCTCGCGAACCTTCATGTACTTATGCAGGTGCGCGTACTTGGGCGTGTGCGTGTATATGCACGTACAAAACAACAAAGAAATATTTTGGGGAGGGTGTTGGGGTACGTTGAACCCCTCATACACCCTTCCTTCTCTTTTGTGTGTGCGCCTATAGCATGGGTTAGTCATGAATGAATAGTAGTCGCTTTTTCCTGCCGATTTCCAGGTGACCCCTAAAACGCTCAGAGTTTCATCGGAACAAGATACGACAGGAATATGCGGTACATACGTAGTTTATTAAGCTTGTTATTAGCTTTGATTACCGTGAGAACAAACCGACCCTGTTTGTAATATGGTTGTAGCTTGCGCGGTGCAAGTCGACTCACGTTTTCAAAGCAAGTTTACTACACGACACTCGATAGCTATAAATATTGCAAATAACGTTGAACAATATAACATCTGGGGTTTCGCATACCAATATCACCACATTTTTACGAGGCACGCTGTAGTAGACGGCTCCGGAGATTTCTACCGCATATGGGGCATTGGCATCTCTTAGTGTATGGGCCACTACTAGCTCACCACCACTGAAACGCGACCGGGATCGATACCGTGGCCCTCGGGTCAGCAACTGAGCACACTAACCGCTGATCAACCACGGTGAACTCGAATCACGCAGGATGTAGGTGAATTCTCCAGAAAGAAGTCAACGTGCTTTAAGCTGCAGTTCAGAGATAATACGGGGTATAGAATGGAATTATTTTCAGGAGTTACAGAGGTGTCAGTTAATCACAGTATTTCAAGAGAGAAACTTGTGAAACTGTTGAAAAGCTTCATGCTAAGAGAAACTTCATAAACTCTTTTAAGCATTCATGCCACTTTACACTCGCTCGCTGGATTCCGTGCCGACCGGTTGTGCCCTCGCGATCTCCGACGACAGCGCAGCTCTGGCCTACTGGGTTGGTCCTACGATACCTCCTGCCGCCGGTCCCCTACGACGACGACAGCGCAGCTCTGGCCGACTGAATTAGCCCCACGCCATCTCCTGTCGCCGACAAGAGCTCTCGCCAGTGGTGTCCCGTCCTCGGACTCCTGTGACCGTGTTTCATCTTTCCTATCTCTCTTCTGTCGTCGCTCGCTGTCCCTGCGCATTTCTCTCTCTATATATACCTTTACTCTTGTCCTTTTAATCCCTCCTTACCCCATCCCTTCTGAGTTACTGTTGAGGTGTCGCACCAGATGCAGACAGTTACGGGGCTCACTTTTCTCTTCTTTTCCCTTTTATAACCACAATCACTTTACACCTATTTTATGCAGAATACTTCATAAAGTTTCACTTTAACAGTCGGTAGCAACGAAATCACATTAGACGTTAATCATGATACGGGGAGCAAGTTTTTGGCTTTCCTATATAGGTTATAAATAATGAAATAATACTCACCTCTTTTCCTTTTGATGCATAGCGTTGTGTCGTAGTTGTTTAGTGTTGTAGCCTTCCTGGCTTCTTGTTTATAATATATCGTGGTAAGGTTGTAGGTTTACAAGACTTTAAAATCTCATAGACCTACAAAGCTCCGAAGTTGCTCCGGAGCAATGATTGTCTGCTCCGAATCTGTCCCAAAACACCAGGTTTTCTGCTGCAAAGCTGCTCCACAACAGCCATTTGCTTCTGCCATGCCTGGTTCAAAATTTAGGCGCCTGCATCCACTCCTAATAGAGTTTTATCAAGCTTCGAGGGAAGCGCAACTTGATGCCATTATCGAAGCATTCTATTCGACAGTGTGGTTTGGTGTAAAATGGGATTTATTGAAATAGACATGTACTAGTTTTCACAGGCTCACATTCACGAGAGAACAAACATTCGTTTGCAGTGGGACCGTTGTTACGTTCTGGGCAAAGATGTCTATCGAGGTACGAATCTGAGCTTGTAGTGGGCGACTTCCTGGATGACGGCGTCGACGGAGTTAAGACCATGGATCTCGCCTTCTTCGGGCAGAATGCGGTACTTCTGAAGTACGTTCGTGATGTACGGAAATATCACCACAAGCGAAAGGATCTCTCCAGGGCACATGCGTTTCCCTGAAAAAAAGAAAAGAAAAAATTCAGAAGTGACCGCTGATAAATTCGGTGCCAGGTTAGCCCGCCAACTGTAATCTTAGAGGGGACACTGAAGATGAGCAATGCTTGATTTAGATTGACGAAGCACGCTCTGGGAACTCTCATGCCATATGTTTCACTAGCATAAGTTCATTACTAGCGGAGAAAATCAAGGTTGAAGTTTCATTTTCAAATTTTGTGACGAAATCTTCGCACATGACGTAAGAAACTTCAAAATGTATTTGCGGTATTTTCATGGCATTAGCTCGATGAGATTTTCAATATTATTGTAAGCTAAGTCTATGGCACCAACAGATTACATTGTACAGTATGGTGCACTGTTAAAGGGAACACTCGAATGCACACCATCAATATTCCTTGCCCTCTAAGAGCAAGTGGATTAAAAAACAATTTTCACGCAAGTCAATAGTCTGTCAAGAGGAGTCGGAACTTCTGACCACCAGTAGTAGTCTTATGCATATCTAAGCCGCCACGATTCCGTAAGATAGCGAAATCGAAACATGCTGCTCACGCAGGTGTTCCCTTTAACAGTGTACCCGTCTGTACTTCATTCGAAAGTTACGTAGGACCCAGTACGTTTTCGAAATTTCCTACGTCATGGTGTTTTGTGCGGGAATCTCAAGGTGGCGTCTCCAGCAGCATTTTCTCCCTTACAAAGCCTCCCGTCACGGTAAGAGGGGTGTTTTCGGGATTGTGCAATTGTACTTTACTAAAGCGCGACACGTCGTCTTGCTCTTTAGCGTCTCTTTAAGTAATCACAAGCAATAATGGTTAAAGTCGGCGCTGTTCCCGCATTGCTGCTCTCCATGCTCCAGAAAACAGGCGATCATTCACTGACGGAGACTTGTCCTGAGCCCAATTAAAAAACCACGAACGAGAAATTGGTGTCCTAGGTAGCTTGCATATACATTGCCTGAGGTGTTTGCGATCCCTTGTGCCTGATGTAGCGTGGCTCCGGAAATCAAGGGTTCTATCCCATGTGCCTGATAAAGGAACCCTAAGGCGCGACTCTCGGTTCGAAAAGTAGCTTCGCGATTGCAAGCAGCCAACGCCATGGTTCCGTCAGAATTTTTCAATAGTGAAGCAGTTTTTTTTAAGATTGTGCTGATTCTGAAGTGGAATGCAAAAGCTATAGCTTAGTTTATGCGCTTCAGGAAGCGGGTATGTGCCAACAAACTCCTAGCATAGCATAGCCATGCATAGTACAGTAAGCAGTAGAGTGAGAAAGAGAAGTCGGGGGGAGGCGGAGTGATCTGAGGATTAGGAGCGGGGTAAGAAGGGGAGAAGTTAGAGGATAACATACCCCCTATTCACAAACGCTCCCCGACTCGTCTTTCACCCTTCACTTGGCAGAGTTGAGCACTGCGCCGCTGCTCGGCTGAAATTGACGCTGCGCTACTCAAGAATCACAGCAAACTATCGCTGATATGTAGTCACTTTCTGTGCCTAGAGACGGCACTCCCATCGGCCTTCTCAAGTGAAGGGGAAGCGTTGAGTGAAGGTACGTTCCAGAATACGGGCGATAGACTTGTATAGCTATAGTTTAGTATGTGCCAAGCATCTCCTAGCATAGGTTAGTATAGTATAGCAAAGAGTGGGAAATAGAAGCGAGGGCTGGGAGGAAAGAAAAAGGGAGAGAGGAGAATACAAAAAGATAAAGGAAGGCAGGGTGAAAAGGAACTAGAAAATATAACATGTAGGGAGGGATAAAGGAAGAAACACGAAAGAAGAAAAAAAGATGGTCCCGAGAAAATCAAATCGACCTGCGTATGCCATTCGCTTGCCAACCCCGCTGTTTACTCACATAAAAAAGGCATGGAACTAGCTTTTATTTTTCGTTTTATTTATTATTTCTTTCACTGAGTCCACAATCAAGTCCTCTGTCTGATGCTGTTTATACGGAATCACACTTGCGCCAGAACAATCTATAATAATAATAATAATAATAATAATAATAATAATAATAATAATAATAATAATAATAATAATAATAATAATAATAATAATAATAATAATAATAATAATAATAATAATAATAATAATAACTAAAGTCGGTTCTGGCTGTTCATGTCTTACTAAGTGGAATTGAAATCAGTGGATCACCCCTATTGCGCCAGGTTTGAAAGAAATTATAGACCTAGCTTATAAAATGCAGGAATGTCAAGTTTTTTCTGCGTCTGCACTTTCAGCCAGTTATTGATGGCTTGGCAATTTCCCATCTTCATTAGGATACGTTAAGGTTCCGAACTGTACAATTAAGCGCATTTTTCAGTATTCAGTCAGTCAAAGTGGAGAGGATGGCGTCGTTTGCAATACTTGATTTCAAGTACGTCCGCGAACCTAAGATGCATCTTGCGTCACTAACGCCGTTAATATAACACGCAAGTTAGGATGCGTCTAAACTTGTCTGTCGAGACAAGTGCTAGTAATGTGTTCTCAATACGGAGCTCTTCTTTTGGCACAGTGGCGTGGCTGGGAATGAACGTTACATTGGGACACGAACGAGGGCCAGCTGACGAAACTTATTACTCAGAGCACATCAGCCCCCTCCTACATGTATGTAATTTGTCAGTGGCGTAGCCAGAAATTTTTTTCGGGGGGGGGTGGGGGGTGGTAGGGAGCGTTTAATTATACTTTATTTTTATGCGTGCATTTGTATGAACGCCTCTAATGCATGCATGCAAAATTGAAAAAAAAAACTTTGGGGGGAGGGATACATAAACGCACCCTCAGCTTCCCCCCCCCCCCTCCTAGCTGCGCCAGTGCTCTTGGTTTAGAATGAACTTAAGTTAACCCAATGTCGTGTGTCATTGGCTGACCACTAGAGTAGACGGTAATAAAATTTAAAGAAGCAGTGTAACATGCCCGGCTCACCTCACCGTCGAAATTCCTCAAAATAAAAAAAATAAAGGTTTCTGTCACTACAGATTCTTCACTGCACGGAATGTCCTCATAGTTTCGGCTAACTTATTGCGTTTGCGTTGTTCTGGACACAAGATTGTTCTGGAACTGCGTGGAATGTCGAAAAGCGTCTCCCACTGGCGGATATTCCGCCTTCAGTGCCTTGGTGCACTTGTAGTTTTTTTTTACCTTACGTCCTGGGGGCTGCAACTAGAGACTAAACTTAATCTGTTTTCGAAAAGAGGCAAACAGTGGCCGATCGGCGTCTTTTCGCCGAATACTTCTCCCCTTTCTAACTAAGGAATTCAAGAGTTTGACCGTTTGTGAACATGGGTGAAAAGCGGACTAGCTGGAAAGTGCCTTATGTGCAAGCTTAAGCTGAAGTGTGGCTGAAACCACAGTGACAAAAAGGACTCATGAGGTAGAACAAACACGAAACATTGGAAAGCTGGCCTTTTGCAAAAGGCCACTACGAAAATAAGTTGGCACCACTGCTCAACATATTGATAAAACGAAGCAGGATATTAAGCAACGTGACGAAGAGCAGCACAATCGGAGTTTTTTTAGTCGGCAAGAACTTAGAGCGGAGAAAAACCTCAGAGATGGTCTTTCATATCTGCTACAAAATATAGGTCCAATCAATCAATCAATCAATCAATCAATCAATCAATCAATCAATCAATCAATCAATCAATCAATCAATCAATCAACAAATCAATCAATCAATCAATCAATCAATCAGTCAGTCAGTCAGTCAGTCGATTAATCAATCAATGTAAATAGGCTCTCGTATATTGATGAACAACCTCCATTTAACCATGCGTAGGCCGTAGTAACCTATAGCAGGATACAGCTGAAGCCGGAGAACCCCGATGACCAAAGAGCAGCAGTTGATTGCCTCCGCGACGTGAGAAATAGTGCCGCCTATGATCCGTATAGTGAAGTCACCAGCCACCCGGCTCATGACGTCACCCTAGAGAAACACTTCCATTGGCGCAGGCTAATTCGCATTTCAGGAGGGAACGTCTTTTAGTACTAAAGCTGCACTCGACTTCAGACAGTATACATTAGGATTGCCTCCCTTGTAGCTATTTTTTTCATCAGTCAATGGGCAGCTACTTCACTGTTGAGCAAAGTGTAATTAAAAGTAGTGTTCTGCGCTCTCGGAAGCCCTTATTTGGAATCTCGCGAGCATGTTGGTAGAGAGCGACGTCAGTGCGACGTCAGTGCGACGCCAATGTGACGCCAGGGTGCATCATGACATCACGTTTCAGGTATACATTTAACCTACCAGAGGTCACCAAAATTTATAATTTTCATCAAAAAAAGTATTCTTTTTTTAATTGATGCTGACTAGCGAGGACTCGAAACGGGACAGCGACCAAGAATGCCGTGCACAGGGAGTTCGGGATGCTTAGTGAACGAAAAGAAAACGTGCCCGCGCACTTTATATAGCCGAGCATTCTCGTCCCCTATCTTTTCTCTGAAGTCGTTCTTGAAAAACTTCTCATTCTTGTATCCGCTGCTAAGTAGAAGTACCTAGTAATTGAATGTTCCCTCCTTTGTGAAGTTAAGACACTTCCTTTTGTTCTTTCCGAAAATATCGACACTCATGTACCTGCAGAGTGCACTATTGAGAGAAATAAATGTAGGTGGTCCCATATCGGCACAGGTAAATGTTCACCTAGGTGAAAGTGCATTAATCATTACAGTTTGCTGTAATACAATAATGTTCTAAGGTCACCTTTTCTCCTGTGCCATGTATAATCCTGGTCAAAAGTTCGCAGGCCGCGCTCCCATAGGAATACATGAGATAGTGACCTGCATGTGAAGTTTGCACCCCCCCCCCCCCCCCCCCGTACGTTGCACGGCCCATAACACAGTTTTCGCTTAACAATGTATTCGCCTAAGACGCCTGAAAGGAAGTCCGCCTTCTGTCTGCTGTCTTCGAGGGTCTCAGAATTTCTTCTGTCTTTGTTGTGAAGTACGTAGTCCACCTGCGCGTATTGAAAAAAAAAGGGGGGGCTGTCAAGGCGAAAAAAGGCTTAAATGCTCCTGAAACGTCGAAACCAGATGTCGAACGAATGCTTATACCTGAATTAATGGCTTCCGAGTTGCTATAAATAATTTGGGCGAAAATCCTAAATGCCTTATCAAACACTAAAATGGAATGTCAGTGACCCCCGTCGGGGGCGTAGGGGACAGCATGATCAGCGCAGAAATCACCATACGATCACGTTACTGTAAAAATTTGGGCCGTCATGATTAATGATGATTGATTTGTGGGGTTTAACGTCCTAAAACCACCATTTGATTATGAGAGACGCCGTAGTGGAGGGCTCCGGAAATTTTGACCACCTGGGGTTCTTTAACGTGCACCCAAATCTGAGTACACGGGCCTACAACATTTCCGCCTCCATCGGAAATGCAGCCGCCACAGCCGGGATTTGATCCCGCGACCTGCGGGCGCAGCAGCCGAGTACCTTAGCCACTATAAACCACCGTGGCGGGGCGGGGCCGTAATGAGGTCACTGTTTAGTAACGTAACGTAACGTAACGTGGCATAATGACGAAATCACATGACATCGTAGAGTGGTCAAAGGGGAGCCGGTCACGGAGGCAAGAGAAAACAAGGTGAGTTGGCCCCGATCTTTGAGGCACTGGAAAACCACGTTAGGGGCAGATAGCTTTCGTACGGAGGCGGAGCAGGATCATTACATCGACTGGGAAGAAAAAAAAAACAGGGCATTCGTTTTCGAGTCGTGTTAGGTAAATGCATGAGGGGCCCCGTGTGTTTGTAACATTTGTGCATAATACAGAGATAGAGATAGTGGGAATGCTCGCTCGTGCATTTTTTTCCGACATTTGATTAGGAAAATATTTGAGCTCTATTAAAGGCATCTCGCCAACCTTCGAAAATGATTTTTTTTGAAACAAATAATGTTGTTTTCTTTTTGCTACGTTTTGGGGTGCCTACTTTTACAGCGAAAGCGGTAAAAACAGGTACCCAAGAACGTAGGAAAAAGAAAGCAGAACTCCTCACTACGATGAAACCTTCCAATATAATGTCTCTTATGATCATATCATGGTTTCGGAACCTAAAACACTATTGAATGAATGAATGAAACGATTTTGCGCCCAATAAAACGTCAGAGAGCTCGTCGAGGTTTCTCTTACCGACTGAGAACGGGATGAAGTAGTCAGGTTTCTGCTGTGCCAGAGAGCCGTCCTCTCTGAGGAAGCGGTCGGGGTCGAACTTGGATGGTTCCCTCCACAGGCGGGGGTCGTTGTGCACCGCCCACAGGTTGGGGAGCACGGTAGTTCCCTTCGGGATGTAAAAGTCGTCGATGAGGGTGTCCTCTAGAACGCTCAAAACGAGGGTCTCGGGATGAAAGCCATCAATGTACACGGCTAAGAAACATCAGCGAGCTATTACACTCGGTGACCGTACAAGACCAGCGATGCTGTTGAGAATACTTATTTCATTTCATTTTACTTGATTTTCTCTTAGGGCACATAAAGGCGTTACTCAGAGAGGTGGGTTATAAAAACAAAAATTGTAAAAATGCAACATAGAAATACAAAATAATAATAAAAAACATGTTCAAACAAACTAAGCTATATCAGGCTGAAGACGTAATCTGTTAGTGCAGCTTTCAATAATGACGCGTTCTCGATGCAGGCGATGAAGGGGGTGTCACACCCTGGTCCCGTTTATTAGGGAGGCGATCGCCGGGCTAATTCCAAGGGCCGAAGTATCGGCCCCCCGAACCGCACCACGAAAGCGTGGACAATTTAGAAGTGGTCCTTTTTGGCGCGCCAGCGGACGCCGGCTGTGGCCCAAAGAACAAGTCAGAGCCGAGAGTTGATAAACAAACAAAATTATATTCTCAATGATGGCAGATCGAAAACAATACACAAGAATGCACACTCCACAATAGTTGAGTACAATATGTCACCAATCAACCAACGTACTACACAGTACAATTAGCCACACTTCAAACAACGGACACCGACAACAATACGCACTACAATGCAGTCGCATGCATTGAACAACCGAGACACTTAAAGACTAAAGAGATAGAAAACCTATTCAGTCCAAAGTTCTTGGAGCAAAAGTCTGGATGATACTCTTCCGAGAATCACTCACTCAAAGTCCAGCGTTGTTGTCGTTCCGCAGCCCCCGAAGTTTCTCTTCCAGGAAACCTCGCCGAAGTTTCTCTTCCAGGAAACCTCACGTCTTCAATAGGCCTCTCTCCAAGCTTCAAACTTCTTCGGCCGAACACGTTGGCTTCACACACGCAGCTGTCGCCACGCGTCTTCGCTCGATAGCAGTAAACACACGCTCTTGCCTGTAGCTCGAGCCTTCACCCCTCAGGTGGAAATCCTCTTCATCTCCTGCTTTGTCGCTACGGACAAAACCTTCGCCGACTACACGGCGGAATCCCTACGCACTCTGGCGCTAACTTCCGTCTTCTCCTGATCTCTCGTCTCGGCTGCTCGGTTAAATACCTTCCGCGCGACATTCCAGAAAGTTCTCGTCCTTTCGTCGGCGCGATACGCAGCGAAGGCTGGGAAGAGGGCGAGACGGTTGGAATGCCCTCCGCGTCGGATGACTCAACTCGGTCTGACCACGCCTATTGCCTTCTGGAACTTTCCAGCCCTTGCTCGGCCGCCGTTGTGGGGTGAGGAGGTTCGTCGGCATAGCCACGCTTCCGCGAGGAGAGCGCGCGCCCCGGGGAGCCTTGGATGTTTGTTTTCTTTTTTTTTTCTTTTGACCTCGCGGCGTCTCTTTCGCGCGTTATCGCAAGAATTTGGCGGCGCGCCCATTTTTAGCGCTCGTTCTGTGACACTGCCCCCCACTTTAAGAATATTATCTCATAATATTCAAAACCACACAACGAGCGCGTCAGTCACCATACACTCTCACAGACTGTAACACAATCCGTCGCTCATGACACTTCACATTCACAATATATCACTCAATACGATTGGACATTACATTCAATCTCACACACATGAAAAATAACCGCAGGTACATGAGTACAACGCTTCACCACACATTCCAAACAGTACAAACGTACAAGGTTCTGCCTTTACAACAATTTACAACACTATACATCACATCACAACACAGATACTTCGACACTTGGGACACAGGATAACACAACACGAACACAACATATGGCACTCAGCACTGCCGAACACATTCTGATTCGACTTCAGCACTTATCGTGTGTACTTTGAGCGGCGCTTGCGCCCTTTCTTGCGGTGCTCGCTCGATCTCTTCTTGTGTTTCCACCTTCCCTTTCGGCGAGCCCTTTCCGACGACGATATCTGAGGCGGCGTCCCAGCCATCGTTGTCACTTCCGACACCGTTAACGGGTCATAACGTTCAGCGGGTCCTGTCTGTTTATTTACCAGCTCGTTCATGTCACGGCATTGGGCTTGGCTGGCCAACTCCGTCACCTTTACACTGTCGGTCGGTTGGGGTCGTGCCGACGTACGTCCAGCTGCCCAGCGCGTGAACTCATTCAACATGATCGTGTTCTCATTCACTCTCTCTTGCGCCGCGGCTTCACCTTGGGCTCTAGTGAGATCCGTCACGGGATGCTCCTCCACTGTATCTCGCGGTCGCTGGGTTGGCGAGGGCTCTATCTTAGGGTCTTCTCCCAAACATTCCGGATCATTAGGTCCTCGCGCCCCGGCGATGTTTCCGATGACAAGGTCGTGAAGGGGAACCGTCATGCATAAAGCAGTAACCTTCCCGCTGAAGTACGGGGTTTCCATCTCAATCTGTGCTTCGGGAAGCATCCGAACTGTACGGTCAATTAAGCAAACCGGTTTCGTTTTGCCGGTCAACTCACTTTCCCGTACCAAATTTCTGCGCACGATAACCGTGGAGCTACCGGTATCTCTTAGAACCGTAATCTTCTTGCCGGCAATCTTTTCACGAAGCGTTGGCATTTCCTTCGTAACACCGGTTGGCTGTTTTGACATTACAGCCCCCACAATAGGAGTTTTCTCCCCATTCTTCAACTCTAGGAATCCATCGGTGACGGCATTATTATCAGATTTCGGTGCCGCTTGCACACAAGATACCTGGTGAGTTTGACTCACTCCGTTCCGACAAGCGTCTGCTTTGTGCCCAGTCTGACCACACTTGAAACATTTTACAACCGTAGGGCTCGTAAAGATCGTCCGACAGTTTTTCGCGCGATGACCCAGTTCGTTACACAGAAAACAACGCGGAGTGCTCTCTGGTGCACGCTTCTTTTCTTCGGGAGCCAATTTCTTCGAATCATCTGGACAATCCTTCTTGACCTTGGCCAAATTAGTTCCTTCTTGCGCTTCCGAGAATTGATCAGCCAATTCAAGCATTCCTTCAAGTGAATCAGCCTTCCTCTCTTTCAAGTACAGCGACAGGCTTGGGTGGCAACTAGTAATAAATTGTTCTCTAATTAGGAGCTCTCTAAGTTCATCGTACTCATGCGCTGTCCCTGAAAGTTCAATTCATCTGTCGAAATAATGGCTAAGTCGGGCGGCGTACTGTGTAGCCGTCTCACCATCAGCTGGCTTTCCTGTCCGAAATCTGTCCCGGAATCCTTCTACAGTGAATCTAAATCGCTTCAGCAAAGCAGCTTTCATCTTTGCATAGTTGGCTGCATCGGTCGGCGTCAGCCTACCGTACACACTGAGCGCTTCACCATTTAAGCAAGTACTCAAAGCAGTTGCCCATTGATGTTCCGGCCAATTCTGGCTCCTCGCAATCGTCTCAAATCTGTGAAGGTACGCGTCAAGTTCGTCCTTCCTTTCATCAAACGCTACGAGCAGCTTGCTTGGGTTCAAGCGAAAGCCGTGGTCCTCCCGTTCGCTGCTTTCAACTCTAGCTTGGACCGGAGTTTCACTTCGCTGTTGCAACCGGAGCCGCTCGAGTTCCATTTCGTGCTGCCCCGCCGCGGTGGTCTAGTGGCTAAGGTACTCGGCTGCTGACCCGCAGGTCACGGGTTCGATTCCCGGCTGCGGCGGCTGCAATTCTGATGGAGGCGGAAATGTTGTAGGCCCGTGTACTCAGATTTGGGTGCACGTTAAAGAACCCCAGGTGGTCAAAATTTCCGGAGCCCTCCACTACGGCGTCTCTCATAATCAAATGGTGGTTTTGGGACGTTAAACCCCACAAATCAATCAATCCATTTCATGCTGTCGCTGCCGTTCCCTTTCAGCCATCTCTGCTTCTCTTTCTTCTCTCGCCCTTTCGGCTGCCAATTTTTCTCTCTCCAGCTCCAACTTCAATTGCTGCTCTCTTTCTTCTTTCAGCTGTCGCCTTTTTGCTTCTCTTTCTTCTCTCGCCATTTCAGCGGCCAGCCTTTCTCTCTCCAACTCAGCTGTTTTTTCTTCCTTGGCCCTCTCAGCTGCCAACCTCTCTCGTTCCAACTCAGCTGCTTTTTCTTCCTTGGCTCTCTCAGCTGCCAACCTCTCTCTTTCCACCGCCTCTTTCTCCTTCTGGCTTACCCACTTCCGTAGTTCGGCGCCAGAAAGCCCCATCTTCTCACCAAGAGCGACTAACTTTTCGAGATCCATTGTGTCTCGCCACTCGCAAATGAAACCTTGTCGCGTGCAAACGTATCTTCCTAAATCAGTCTATCGGAACACTCCCCTGCACTCGTTAACGAGAACACTGAACAACACACAAAATCGTTCCGATAGCACTATCAACAACTCGAGGCTCTTTCTCACTACCTTGGACACACTGTGCACCAAAAGGTCCTGTCGCGGACACCAGATTAATTGTCACACCCTGGTCCCGTTTATTAGAGAGGCGATCGCCGGGCTAATTCCAAGGGCCGAAGTATCGGCCCCCCGAACCGCACCACGAAAGCGTGGACAATTTAGAAGTGGTCCTTTTTGGCGCGCCAGCGGACGCCGGCTGTGGCCCAAAGAACAAGTCAGAGCCGAGAGTTGATAAACAAACAAAATTATATTCTCAATAATGGCAGATCGAAAACAATACACAAGAATGCACACTCCACAACAGTTGAGTACAATATGTCACCAATCAACCAACGTACTACACAGTACAATTAGCCACACTTCAAACAACGGACACCGACAACAATACGCACTACAATGCAGTCGCATGCATTGAAAAACCAAGACACTTAAAGACTAAAGAGATAGAAAACCTATTCAGTCCAAAGTTCTTGGAAGAAAAGTCTGGATAATACTCTTCCGAGAATCACTCACTCAAAGTCCAGCGTTGTTGTCGTTCCGCAGCCCTCGAAGTTTCTCTTCCAGGAAACCTCACCGAAGTTTCTCTTCCAGGAAACCTCACGTCTTCAATAAGCCTCTCTCTAAGCTTCAAACTTCTTCGCCCGAACACGTCGGCTTCACACACGCAGCTGTCGCCACGCGTCTTCGCTCGATAGCGGTAAACACACGCTCTTGCCTGTAGCTCGAGCCTTCACCCCTCAGGTGGAAATCCTCTTCATCTCCTGCTTTGTCGCTACGGACAAAACCTTCGCCGACTACACGGCGGAATCCCTACGCACTCTGGCGCTGACTTCCGTCTTCTCCTGATCTCTCCTCTCGGCTGCTCGGTTAAATACCTTCCGCGCGACATTCCAGAAAGTTCTCGTCCTTTCGTCGGCGCGATACGCAGCGAAGGCTGGGAAAAGGGCGAGACGGTTGGAATGCCCTCCACGTCGGATGACTCAACTCAGTCTGACCATGCCTATTTCCTTCTGAAACTTTCCAGCCCTTGCTCGGCCGCCGTTGTGGAGTGAGGAGGTTCGTCGGCAAAGCCACGCTTCCGAGAGGAGAGCGCGCGCCCCGGGGAGCCTTGAATGTTTGTTTTCTTTTTTTTTCTTTTGACCTCGCGGCGTCTCTTTCGCGTGTTATCGCAAGAACTTGGCGGCGCGCCCATTTTTAGCGCTCGTTCTGTGACAGGGGGGAAGGTGACAAATATTTATTTCACCTATTCGGTTATTCGCTTGCGCACCTATTTATAACCTTCAATTTGGTGTATGATCCTTGAAAATGATTCCACCAAGAATAGTGCGGCCCAGAACAGCAGTGCGCAGGTTATTTGTTTATTAATTGGTGAATAGCTAGGAGTTATTTATGTTTTTTGTTTGCCCAATTATGTATATTTTTTGTTTCTCTTTAAGTCAATTGGTGGTTAGTTAGGGGGCTTGCCCATTTTATGTGGCACATTGGTTTGCTTTCGAGTAGATAGTTGTTCAGTAGGTAATGGTTTGTGTAGATATGGCATAAATATTTTTTAATACTATCAGGTTCGCAGTTACGTCAAATAATTCTAAGTTGTCGGCCACCATACGAGCTCAGTCATGGCGGCTAGGGTCGCTCCCCCCCCCTTTTTTTTAACATTGAAGGCACGTGCCATGCCTGATCATAATCGTTTCCTGTTTTACAGGAAAATTTTCACGGAATGAGGAATAGTCATTTAGACGCAGCTGCGCGGTACAAAAGCAGTCCAGCCTATGCTTCGTGCACACCTGAGCCTTCGGAAAAGTACTTGTAACAATTAAATACATTATGACCCTTAATAGCCGTAATAGGCCAGACCACGACATTTGTTCAGGGGTAATTGTTAGCGAGCGATGGAAAGGAAAAATACAAAGGTAACCATAAGAGACAAAAAATAGAGCAGAGTGGATCAGGGTACAAACCGGGGTTTAGGATATCATGGTTGAAATCAGGAAGGGGAAACGGGCATGGGCCGGGCATGTAACGCGTAGGCAGGATAACCGCTGGTCATTAAGGATAACTGACTGGATTTCCAGCGAAGGAAAGCAAGTAAAGGGGAAACAGCAAGTTAGGCGGGCAGACGAGATTGGGAAGTTTGCGGGTATAAAATAGCAGCAGCAAGAGCAGGACCGACTTGACTGGGGGAACATGGGAGATGCCTTTGTCCTGCAGTGGACGTAGTCAGGCTGCTGCTGCTTCTGCTGATGATGATGATAATGATGAACTGTAATCTCTGGTTCGTCTACTTTTTTCTTTGAATTTTCGCCTCAGATTTGAGCTCCGACGAATGCTCGCATCGCCTATTTCGAAAACAGCTTGTCCGGAACTCATATTGGCTTCTACTTTTGCAGGCCATATTATTACGGCTCCATCACTACTCCGCAAAGCTGGCACTTTTTTCAGTTTTTTTAGTGGCCTACAGTTATTTCCAAATTTTAAGCACTTTGGGGGGTGGGGCTGTAGTATGTTGTTTTCGTCGCTCAACTGGGGTAACACTCCATGTGTATCATACACAGCGCGTGCTTGCTCCAAGGTAAAGACTATTTTCTCATGTGCTTCGAGCACCTTGATAATGATCACGTATCATGAGCGGCGAAAATAACTAGTGTGCTTGGTGCAATGTAGGCAAAAGCACGTATAAAATTAGACAAAAAAAAATGTGGGAGGCAAGCACTAAATAGAAAGAGAGTACAAAATAGGTAGAAAACTATAAAGAGCAATAATTAGAGTCAAATAAAGAGAGAGGAGAAAGTAAATAGAAATAAAGACGAAAAATTAAAGAAAAAGTTGCGAATGAGAAACCGGAAAAAAGATTGATTGATGCGAAGTTGAGATTGATTGCATGCGAAGTTTGCCTCCGCGACTCCAGCAGTTAAGGGGTGATCATGATAACACCTATGTCTGGGTGCTATCATGATCACCCCTTAACTTCGGGTGAACCAAAATGAGTGTGAAAGGGTAAGATGGTCTGAAAATTATGACTCATTGGTCTTGGCATGAATAATGTCACAATCCCGTCACGTACGTCCGTTAAAAACTTTCCGCCAGACAGTGGCACATACCCGCGGGCGGGTATGTGGTCGTGTCGACCTCACAAACATCAGGGTCCCAGCGTGAATCAAACCCAAGCATTCTGCATGGCAATGAAGTATGCTACCACACAGCCACGCCTCGTCGCGATAGTGCTTTAGGAAAGTACACTATTCAGGTGTTATGTCGACGCAACGTCCATTGTGGTTGCAATGCTGGGCTATCCAATTTTTTTCATAAACACTACATATGTACTCCTATGATATAGACATCTCGTCGGGTTAACGTCAGTTGTAGTTAAGTGCCTTCCACTGAAGTTAAGTGTCCCGGGCTATCATCATCAGGTGTACAAGTGTTACTCATCGACTTACCGCTTCTCCTGTTGCTAATACTCATGTTGCTGTAGGCATCGTTGCGCAAGTGTAAACAACTGCTTATGACTGTGCGTATAATATTTTTACATACACTTAGCGTCGTTTCGTTACGTGTTGCCCAATAACAAAAATTACAACACGGCCACCTTCCTTCCACATGCACCGCATAGTCGATTCCCAAAATACGTGGGATCTGCCAAATTATTTACTTTAGTCTCCAACCTGTCATCTGGTTTGCACGGTTTTTATTGGCCCTTTACCTAATTGAACTTCTTCATAAGCAGTTGGGCTACGTCATTCCCATCGTGGTTGGTGGTGCCTGCCTGTGTTTTAGTTCAATCAAATCAAGATTGATGAAATATTACCAGAAGCTAATGTTCAAGAAGAGTGGCTATTTGGGCTAGTTGGTTATATTTCATTGTAATAAGGGTTGAAACGCAAGCACGAAAACACCGAGAAAGGCAAATGGAAGGCGAGGATCGAAAGGCAAAGAGGACAATTCGAGCACTGTGTGGTCCTCTTTCCCTTCCGTTCCTCGCCTTCCGTTTGCCTTTCTTCCAGAACTTTCGTGCTTGCGCTGCAAACCTTATTACAATGATTTATGTTCACTTGGGGCTACGTATTCTACTTGACATTCCCGTTCTGCATCAGCTGCAAACATGAGGACAATGGTTGATTGTTGACTAAAATGAAGAAGCATGCTGATGGGTGCAGATAACACTGTTGGAATATCGATTATAGTATTCTCGTTTGTGCCGAATTACGCCGTGTTATATTATTACGTTGTGCTTGTTTGCTTCCTCTGCTTATTCAGCCAACCAGAGCGAGCCCACTGAGCGGATAGTTGAGCTGTGGTGGTCGACTGATAAACCAAAGATTGCAGGTTTGATTCCTGCTGGAGCGGTCGTATAACGATGGAAACGAAATGACAGGGACTAATGTATTTAGAATAATTTGACCGTGAAGAAACTCCAGATGGTCGAAATTTCCGGAGTTCTCAACTACGCCGTGTTCTCGTACATAACGATCTTTTCTCTCTCTCTCTCTGTCTCTCTCTTTCTCTCTCTCTCTCTCTCTCTCTCTCTATATATATATATATATATATATAAGGGGAAGAAGTGTATACCTAAGGGCTCATTTTTCCGTGTTTTAACACAATATTAATTATTGAGATCTAACAGACAGTAATGCCAAGGAATGTACAGCACCAAGGAATGTATATATATATATATATATATAGCTTCCCCTATACTGTCCTTGGCATTATTGTCTGTTAGATCTCATCAATAATGTTTCAAAACAAGGACAAACGAGTTCTATCTCTCAAGGAAAAACGAGTTCTATATATATATATATATATATATATATATATATATATATATATATATATATATATATATATATATATATATAGGAAATAGAGAAAATATAAAGAAAATACAGGAAGCGATGGAGATTTCGGTTTGCTACCCTGAGCATAGGAAGGGGAAAAGGGGTTCAAAAATGGAAAAGAGTTGAAGAAGAGTTTGTAACATTAGTAAAAATAAAGCCACTTGAGCATCGCCCTGATACTACCTAGCAACATTGTCCGCGAACACTCAGGTTGTCACAGAGTGTGGTTGCTTGCAGAAACCACATCAATGCTCTTAGAGCGGCTAGTGTTGCAGACCGGGTAGGTAAGGGACCCAGGATTTCCGTCTTATGAAATATACATGAGTGATAACTGCTCTGTTAAGTGTCCGTAAGATAGATAACTCGTCAGTACTGAGGATTACGCCATCATCAGATTGACTAATCACATCCAGTGGTAGCTTCTTGGCAAAGTCATCTGTCCTAAAGTGCGCAAGCTTGTACAAATGATAATGGGAAGGGTAATTGCGCTAGGCACAGCCAACACCTGTCAATCGGTTCTGCGGAAGCCTCCTAGCTAGCGGGTGGGTTAAGAAAGTGGAATTCACATCCACACATTCGCATTACTAAACCACAAGGAGACCTACACGGATTCCTAAGATGAAATGCTCGTCCGGGAATCGAACCTAGAACCATCGCCCTCACGAGACGTTCCCTCTACCTACCACCTGGGTACACCTAGGGGCGACACGGTCTTCCAGCGGTTCATCTCCCAGATGCAGGCCATGGTGTAGGGCATTCTCAGCCGGTCCTCCCACTTAGGCTGGCGCTCTTTCCCAACCACTTGGTCGATCTCCTTGTGTACTCTGGTCTGCACAGTGTCCTGCTTGTCGGCAAAGTTGAGAAAGTGCCAGTGCAGAGTCGGGCTGACTGTGCCTGAGCCACCGAAGAACAACGCCATTGCATTCCCTACGAGGCTGCGAGCTGCGGAAACAAACGTGCACACGCATAGTCTCAATTATGTCGGGATATGCCGAGGATCACGTGAAATTATTCGGGAAGTAATAACACAGTAATTGTTGGGGTTTTACGGCCACAAAACCATGGTATGTGAGAAACGCTGTTGTCGAGGGCCCCAGAAGTTTCGACAGCCTAGTTTTTTTGAATAAGCAGCTAAACCCTTTTTTTCTTTCCCTCTCTCCCCTCTTTCTCGTCATTCTGGTCCCCTTTCCTACTCCCCCAGTGTTGGGTAGCCAACCGGATGTCTTTCTGGTTAACCTCCCTGCCTTCCCCCTTTTTCTTGCTTTCTTCCTTCCTTGTTGCAGCTAAACCCGAGCACTCTTGATTGAATTTTGTATCCACCGAAACGCAGTCGCAGGGACCGAGTTTTGGTCCCACAGCCTTTGCGTCGGGATTCGAGAACTGAAAAAGTTCGGCAGCAGGTCCAGCTCTCTCTAACACCCGAAGGCTAAAGTCGGCTTGGTCATGAACCAATACTTACATCTTACTCTGCGTATTATAAATCAAACGCTGGATAGCAAGGGCAAGTCACATACAGAAAAAATACGATAGGAAAAGGTTTTGTAATATTGAAAAGTGACACACATCTGCTGCGACAGCTCAGCGTTTATGATGTTTTGCTGCTGGATCGAGAACACTGGTTCGATACCCGGTCATGGCCCCAATATTTCGATGAGCGAAAAAAAAAAGAGAAAGTCTGTCTGTTGTGATTCAGATCAACCCAAGGGAGTGATTGCCTGTATATGTTGCTTCTAGTCGTTTCTTTTTTTCCTTTTATACATAGTTAATATAATGTCAAAGTAAAAAAAAACAATCTAAAGCTCTACAGTACGGCGTGTCTCATAACAAAATATTGGTTTCTCACGCAACACTTCACAAATTCATTAGGATTGGTGCAAGGCGATGTTCCTAAGCATTGAGGGCGATTGGTCGTAGTGTGCTTTTTTAAAAGGCGTGAACTTACTTGTAAGGTATGATGTTGGGTTCTTCTCGTGTTCCTTTATCTTTTTGAGATAGCCGTCAATGAAGTCCCGATTGTAGTTGTTATCAAGGCTCTTATTCTGCTCCTCGGCTTGTCGGCTAGAATCGATTCAGATAAAATAAGCAGTTCAGCCGCATGTATACATATATTGGGACCTTTTTGTCCGAAAAGTTTGATGACGCGCTCGCAGTAGACATCTAACTAAACCATAAAAAAAAAAAGGATGACGCTCGAGCTTCGTCTTCAAGTACAGCCGCCGCGGTGGTCTAGTGGTAAAGGTACTCGGCTGCTGACCGGTCGCGGGATCAAATCCCGGCTGCGGCGGTTGCATTTCCGATGGAGGCGGAAATGCTGTAGGCCCGTGTGCTCAAAGTTGGGCACACGTTTAAGAACCCCAATTGGTCGAAAATTTCAGAGCCCCCCACTACGGCGTCTCTCATGATCATATGGAGGTTTCGGGACGTTAACGCTCCCATATCAATAAATCAATCAAGTACAGATCATGATAGCGTAATCGGGCCTCGCGCGCATCGCCTTCTGAACTGCTAGATTGTAGCTCTGGTTCTCGGTGAATGCCTCAACCGGGCCGTACGGAAACGAACGGCTGCGTGCGTAACATTGGCCGTTTCCAGGTGCCACTTAATGCCCATTGCAAGCGCAGTTGAGTGCCCACTACGCCGTAAATATTTGTTTTGCGAATCAGCCCACTACGCCCTCGGAGGGCAACACGCGAATCTATGCAGGTGTTCACTTTGTTTTTGCTTTGATGATGAAGTGTAACTGAGCGCTTTCTAATGGGTGGCCCTTTAAAACAGCCATAATTGTCATTGCTTGACGCCTGGAACGATTCTACGCTTCTGCCTTACAATATATATGATGCGTTAAGGAGACTACACTCAGTTTATGACATTCATATGGCTTTTTTTTCGAAAGTAGTTCCAGCAATTACTGTGGCTCTGAGCTAGAACACCTGCTTGCCAAGCGGACGGCTCGGGTGTGATCCTTACTTAGACCCGGAAATTTTTTTAAATGCGAAGCATTTCTTTGCGTACTGCAAACGCTTTTGGCTATCTATCTATCTATCTATCTATCTATCTATCTATCTATCTATCTATCTATCTATCTATCTATCTATCTATCTATCTATCTATCTATCTATCTATCTATCTATCTATCTATCTATCTATCTATCTATCTATCTATCTATCTATCTATCTATCTATCTATCTATCTATCTATCTATCTATCTATCTATCTATCTATCTATCTATCTATCTATCTATCTATCTATCTATCTATCTATCTATCTATCTATCTATCTATCTATCTATCTATCTATCTATCTATCTATCTATCTATCTATCTATCTATCTATCTATCTATCTATCTATCTATCTATCTATCTATCTATCTATCTATCTATCTATCTATCTATCTATCTATCTATCTATCTATCTATCTATCTATATCTATCTATCTATCTATCTATCTATCTATCCACCCGCCTACGTCGGGGTGCTCTCGTGATCACCCTCTAAATTTGGGCTAAAGCAAAATTTTTTATAAGAGGGTAAAATGGTATGACAAATAAGACTCACTGGTAATCATATGAACAATGCCACAATCTCGTCGTCATACACTTTTCGCCAAACAGTGGCAATTACCCAAGGGTATGTTCCACTGGCATGCGGGTATGTGCCCCAGGTTATTGACTGTATCAATCCACGAACGGCAAGTAGAGACATGGGTATTTCGAACGCGTGAGCGTTAAGAAAAGAGCTGACATCGGTGGCGTTGACCCAATGAATGCAAATAATAAATGTCAGGGCCCCAGCAAGAATCGAACCCCAGCATTAAGCGTGGCAACCAAGTATCCTACCACACCCACGTCTAGAATCTGCTTTTCAAATAGACCGTGGGAAGCGTCCATTGGGGATGCATTGGGGGCTATCCAATTTTATGATCATTACATATGTACTCCTGCGATACACCCGTCACGGCAGGTTAATATCAACTGTAGTAAAGCGCAATGCACTGAAGGTGATTGACAGTTGATATTGTCACGTGGCTCTAACGTGAATGGGGACAGCAGAAGGCTTCCTGAAGGCTGAACTAGTGACCATAAAACGGAAACTAAAATTGCAACAAGCAATGCACGCAACATATACTCTGTCATTTCTCATGAAAGGGAACACGGGAGCGCGTGGCCTGCGCGCTCCGGCAACTGCTGGCAGCGCGTCCAAGCGGGAGCAAAGGCAACCTCAGCCTCTTTTCGCGCCATCTTTAGGCGAGCTAAACAAACAGTCATTGATGGTACCAAACCAGAGACAAGATTGCAACCCTCTCATCCTTCAAGGCGATTATCGGCCTGTTGCGTAATCATCTTGAAGGGAAAGGGGTTACAGTCTTGCCGCTCGTTTCATATCACCAGTGACTGCTTATTTTTCTCCCCTAGAGATGACGCGAAATGAGCTCCCGCTCTGAAGTCAAGGCGTGTCATCGGACGATGGACACTGATCCACTACATAGCTGTACATGGTTGTATATAAAAAAAAATTCAGTGATGGTAGCACTTGCAATCCTTTGTGAGTGCTGGGCTTGGCCTTTTCCCGACTTTGTGAAAACTGATTGATTGATTGATTGATATGTGGGGTTTAACGTCCCAAAACCAAAATGTGATTATGAAAGACACCGTATGTGGAGGGCTCCGGAAATTTCGACGACTTGTGGTTCTTTAACGTACACCAAAATTTGAGCCCACTGGCCTACAGCGTTTTCGCCTCCATCAAAAACGCAGCCACCGCAGCCGGGATTTGATCCCGTGACTTGCGAGTCAGCCGTCGAGTGTCTCAGCCACTAGACCACTATGGTGGGGCGACTTTGTGAAAACTGGGCATAACCTTTGCAAAGGAGGTGAATGGGCTTCGAAGTCACAATGTAGGTTTGAAGCGTAATTTAATTTAAAGGCACATTTTGATAAACAAGGGCGAAAGTTGTGATGAAGCCTGCATAAGAAGTGTGAACGAGGGATAAACACTGAGTAGCTTTATGCAGCCTAACCATTGTAATCTGAATGTTAAAGCGTGATATTAATTGCCGAACTTAGCAAAACTTGATGTAACATATCCTTTCAAAACTATCTATAACAAACTATTAGCAAAACTATCGAACAATAAAAAATACCACTCTAGTGTGATACTTAGCCTCTCGTAGAGCCTTGCAACAGGAACGCCATACAAAGCTATAGCCATGGCCGTTTTTTTAGTCAGCTTTAATGCTGCTTACGCAGCATCCGTGATGGTGTAGCGCACGTACACAGTTACAGTTTAGCGTCAGCGTTATAGAGGGGGTTAATGAAATTGCGTTATCATACCGCAAACATTCGTTGTGGACAGCGCCTTTTAGTATAGACCTCAGCATGCCTATCTCGCACGCAGGCGCACAGGCTGCCGGCGCACAATTTCGCACCCAGAATGCCATCTTGTTTTGAACTGCCAGGGCGTGTATCTCTTGCGCCAACTTAACATGAGAAGTGGCATCTCTGATTTTTGAAATATAATACACGTCAGTACGAGACATGTGCAATGACGACAAAGACTAACGCAAATCTTTGTGTACCCTAGTCTGAAGCTCTCTCTCTCTCTCTCTCTCTGGTGTGAGATCACGGCGGATTTTTCGTCTTATAAGGTATACAAGGTTATCGCGTTAGAACTCGCTTTACTAGAGACACATTACACCACTTGTTAGCAATGGCGGATGAGAGGAAGGCCTTACAGCGTGTACTGGATTAACTCCTTGATGCTGGAGACCATGGTGCTTCGTCGTGTGGATGACAGCTTTCTGAGAAGCTGGTGCACAAACAGGGGCAGGAACTCGAGCATGCTGCCACTTCCGATCGTTTCGAACACTTCCAGCAACATCTTATCCATGAAGAGCCTGTGCGGGTCGTCGTGGTCGTGCCTTGTGGCGTACACGAGCGATGCGATGTTGCTAGAGATGCTGGTAAGCAGGTCTTTCTCGATTAAAATTGGGGTGCCATTCGTGCTGGATGTTTTCTTCAGAAAGGTGCTGCACTCATCCTGTAAACGGAGATGACAAGAAGAGGATGAACTGACAAGAAGAGGGAAATACTGGCGTCTGCAGTTGCTTAACAGTCCCAATAGCTTGAAATGTTTTACCTTGTTAGGTGATACTTATTAAGGTGAGAGCCTTAGATGCGTCAACTTTGCACTCGGTGACATTAGTTGACCATTAATCTGAATATATATTCAATTAGCAGTGATGTTGTCTAAAGGTGTAAACATTTTGAGCAAATTATCATTAACGTTTTTACTAGGGATGGTCAGAAGACCCCCATAGTTGACTCGACCAGAACTTTCAGACTGCATGCTGCTTGACTCCTAAGACGGTAATGCCAAGACTATTGCTCAGTTTACGTATAAAAGTGAAAGAAGACTGATCATGAGAGTATTTAATAAGAAAGAAGGAGTTGTTAAGGATAACCTGCTGTGGGCGCATCAAGCGTTCCTCATGAACCACGTCAATTATGTTTTTTCGGCCTTACACTGGTCAAAAACGGAGAGAGGAAAGCTTGTCATCTAAGTGCTAAGTGTTTGGCATCCCGTGTTGGGCACCCAAAGTGTTGGGCATCCCGATCACAGCTAGCGCGGAGAAACTCCTGCAGCCACGCTCGAACTGATTGAAGTACAAATGTCTGCACAGGTTTTGAGGCTTTCAGGCTCTAGAGCTGGATGACGTCATTTGGAGGCAGCGCGTATTCGACCTAGCTTCAACAAAGAGCAGGTGGTACAGCTTGGCGTCACTATAAGAAGCACCCACGTCGTTGGCCCACTCGCTACAAACGTACACCCCTGGTACAATAAGGAAAGGCGAGTCACATCATCTAAGATGATTTAAATGGACTCGCCAGGTACTGAATGTTTTGTAGATATAGCCTAGCATATATGCACGAGTGAATTCAGTCACTGGAGTTGATAACAGGGGTGAACTATTCTGCGCAGCTTCGCTAAGGCCTAGTATGGTCAATGTGGCTGAGCAGGTTGTCATCGCAATCGCGTTGCAAGATCCCAAACGAATGACTATTTACACGGACTTCCACACGGTGGTCAGGGCCTCCACATCGGGCCTCGTAGTTAGAGAAGCAGCAGTGATTCAAAAGAAATCAGCTATAGAAATCTGTCCGTAACAATACTTGGCACCCAACCCACAATTAAGACGACGGGCTACCGGGTCTATAGGCTATAGAGCACTGTCTCCATACATTTAATAAAAGTACGGCTCAGTAAAGGGGGAGGGGGTGGAGTCACCGGCATTATTTTTCGCCTCCCCATCGAAAACTGAGTAAAGCACAGTCTTCTAGGCTGATAATGCTTCAGACGTGATCGTAGCCGTCGAGATGTTTCATTAGAAAGCTTCACACAGAGAGAGATCAGCATTGCCCCGATTGCGAGGAAGAATTTTGTCCTTTAGTCTACACGCTATGACGGTGCCCTGTGTTAAAAGTCTAAACAACAGTGAGTACAGTGAGGAGGCCATCACGATGTCATAGTGGGAAACCAGTCGAAGGTTTTCCAGAGGGTGCGTGAGTGAGAGGATAAGCATGACCTACCAGCTACAACATGAAATTAGCCGATAGCAAGGTAGGGGTCGTTTTTGGACTGCACTGGCTGGCTTCTCAGGACCTTGATAAAGTTACTTATCTGTCTCTGCTAAAAAGAGAGCTATACGTAAGCTTCCTGTATCGCTATGGCGACAGGAATTTTTCACGTAGTTTCTGTTGTAATAGTACAGTATTCAGCTTACAAGTCTGTCTTCTTGTCACACTGAATCTTTGAAATTTCTTTGCACAATCATTCACAATACACGATTTACTTTACTAAGAGGTACATCTCATCCTCTAAACTAACACCCACCAGACACTGTGAGCTGAACATGTCACTTTTAATCACCGAAGTAATGTGTATTGTTAGATTTTTGTCTGCACTGTTGAAATCTGGAACACTTTAGCCGGTCATATGTTAAATATTTACCACTTGATGAATGAACTCGTTTTTAACGTTACTGACCATTGATCTTCATGTTCAGTGCACTTTTTGTTGTATTGCAATCTTTGTATTCTGCCTCCATTCCAGTGATAGCTTTTCAAGGCTGGTGTACGTTTGAACAAATAGGTAAGAAATAAAACTACTGAAGAGTTTAAAAAGAAAGCAGTAAACAGCGTGACATATGCCTGACATTTTTTTCAGCTGATAGTGACAGGTATATAAGTTACACAACATTGGGCTCTGGTGAGTTTTGACTGAAAGGTATAAACAGCAGGTGCTTTGATAGAAACGCCCAAATGTTCTGAGGCCCATATTAGTTCAGGTGCGAAACAGACATGCTACCTGTACGTGCTCTTCCATAGATGTCTTGCCGTAGCCAAGGTCGCGCAAAACTTGCATGCAGAATTTTCGATTCTCGTCCCACTCTTCACCATTGTACGTAGCCACCCCTATGGTGAGCAACAACATAAAAGTTTAGTTGGCTTCAAAAAAAAAGTGAGATCTTACACACTCAAAAACTTTGAACTATAGCTGTGATTGACACTTCAAGACCAGCCTGCAATAATATTTGAGCTCTAAATGTTGAGGATCAAGGTACTCACAGTCTGTCTTTCAGTGGTGTAAGGCTGACATCATCATCATCATAATCATCATCATAATCATCATCATAATCATCATAATCATCATCATCATAACCATCATCATCAGCCTGACTACGTCCACTGCAGGACAAATGCCTCTCCCATGTTCCGCCAGTCAACTCGGTCCTGTGCTTGCTGCTGCCAATGCATACCCGCAAACTTCCTAATATCATCTGCCCACCTAACCTTCTGTCTCCCGCTAACCCGCTTGCCTTTTCTGAAAATCCAGTTAGTTACCCTTAATGACCAGCGGTTATCCTGCCTACGCGCTACATGCACAGCCCATGTCCATTTTCTCTTCTTGATTTCAACTATGATATCCTTAACCCCCGTTTGTTCCCTAATCCACTCTGCTCTCTTGTTTTCTTTTAAGGTTACACCTATCACTTTCCTCTCCATTGCTCGCCGCGTCGTCCTCAACGTAAGTTCAACCCTGTTTGTAATCCTCCAGGTTTCTGCCTCATAGCTGTGTACCGGCAAGATGCAGCTGTTATATACTTTCCTCCTGAGGGATAGTGGCAATCTACCTGTCATGATTATCATAACACTGCAGGGCAAATGACTTTCCTTTATTTCGCCAATCAACATGGTCTTTATGCGACCACGGTACACCCACAATTTTTTTGATTTCACCGTTTTATATAATTTCGTACCTCCTCCTCGTACGCTTGCCTTCTTTTTGTATGCACTCTGTTACTCTTAATGACCAGTGGTAATTTCGCTTTCGTGCTACAGGCCCTGCCCATGCCCTTTTCTTGGTAGAGTGATATACGCGTTTTGATCAAAAAACTAAAAGGCCCCTTTTAGAGAATCTTGCTGGGATAAATGTCGGTAGAAAGGCCCAAAATATTGTTGATTGGTTGCGTAGGGCAATGTTGTTATGCATCTCTCGCTGACTTTGAGATCTGAACAGACAGTAATGCATTCAGTTAATATTCAGCTTTTATTGTCCCCGTCTTGGCGCAACTTATCTGTCTGGGCACTCTCGTGGATCACCCTCTTAACTCGGGGAAAGGAAAACTAGTATGGGAGGGTAGAATGGTTTGACGAATATGGCTCGCTGGTTATGACTTGATTAATGTCACAATCCCGCCACGTACGTCATCAAACACTTTCCGCCAGACGTGTGGCACATACCCGCCCGGCGGCTATGTGCCAGAGGTGACTGACAGTTTATATCTACTCAGGAACGGCAAGAAGAGACGTGTGTAATTTTTACGCGTGAGTGTTAAGAAAAAGCTGACATTGGCAGTGTTGACTCTATGAATGCGAGGAACAAATATGCAGGGTATCATCAGGAATTAAACGCAGCATTCTTTGTGGCAATAAAGCATTCTAGCGCAGAACCACGCCAGGTCTCGGAACTATTTTTCAAATAGACTGTGACGTTCGTGAAACGTCAATTATGGTTGCAGTGCTGGGGCTGTCGAAATTTATAAACATTACATATGTACTTCAATTATACAACCGTAACGTCGGGTTAACGTTAGTTGTAGTTAAGCGCCATCCGCTGAAGTTGGTTGGTATAGCAGTGTCCAGGGCTACGATCCTCGTGAGCACAAGCGCTTCGTATCAGCTTGCCGCTTCTCGTGTTGCTAATATTCATGTTGCTGATGGCATCGTTACGCAACTGTAAACAACTCGTTATGTGAAACATATGCGGCTGTTTAACGTGTGTCTGTGCGTGCATTTGTGCATATCTTGTGCATCATTTCGTAACGTTTCTCTTAATAAAAAAATTACAACACAGTCACCTTCCACCCGCATGCTTCGCGTAACATCGATTCCCAAGGTATGTACGTGGGATCTGCCGTGGGTTCTGCTTTCTTTCTTTCTTTCTTTCTTTCTTTCTTTCTTTCTTTCTTTCTTTCTTTCTTTCTTTCTTTCTTTCTTTCTTTCTTTCTTTCTTTCTTTCTTTCTTTCTTTCTTTCTTTCTTTCTTTCTTTCTTTCTTTCTTTCTTTTCCTTTCTTTCCTTTTTTTCTTTTTCTTTCCTTATGTTCCTTTCTTTTTCTTTCTTTGCCTCTTTCCTCCTTTCTTTTCTATTTCTCTTTTTCTTTCTTTTTCTTCTTTCTTTTTTCTTTTTCTTTTTTTTTCTTTTTTTCTTTCTGTTTTTAGTGCCTATAGTACCGCAATCCCTTGGTTCCCATGAATGCTTGTCTGCTATATGCGTGGATAGTTGAGTGATTGCGACGCTTGCCTTCGTACCGTGGATACCCGGGTTCTAAGCCCGCCTCGCCAGGGTATCTTGTTTCGTGTTATTTATTCTTAATCCTTCTCCTCCTCTCCGCTGCTCTTCTTTTCTCGTCCTCCTTGTTTTCTTCCTACAACTCGTGCTAGGCGATGCATAGTGACGTCGTCACAACTCAGGGATGAAAGGCGCAGTTCCTAGGAATGCCGTCTGACCAACCTCAAGCTTGAACAGCTCCGCTGTTCGAAACGAACAGAATGGGCAAAGACTAGAGTATAGATGAAGTAGTAAAAGTGGTTATCCGTCAATTAGCTCGTCAATTAAAGTGATCATTGGCTTCTGCAAATCAAACAATTAAGCTAAGTATTTCTGGCAATAATTAGCACGTGTGCGTTTGCAAAGTATCATGCATAAAATTTAGTCCAAAGCGCGCTTATTTTTTGTACACGAATGCTTGAAGACTTGTGATCAAAATTTTAGCCATGCATGTTTACAAGTCTCAAACTGCTGGCAAACTTATTTCGAACAAAATGTAACCACAGAGAAATATACTATATAAAGAGTGGCCACTGGAGCCTTTTTGCGGGCCAGCAAGAAAGCTTCTGACCAACCGCTAGATGGCGTACCCATCTTCGCTTTTACAACTTTTTAAAGACATGTACAAGCCTCCTTAGGAGGACAATGAATACCCAAGTTTGGCGTCAATTTTTTGCAAAGAAGATATTTTATTAATTTGTGCGATTTCCCGTATCCTCTCCACAGCATGTCCCGCTGAAAACAATTAATGCCTTACAACAGAAAAGGGTTGTCTTTCTTTAATTGTTTTGATGTGATTTAGATGGGCTGTACATGTATTCCCTTTGTGGAAGCATGGATCTGTAGCCCAGTAGTAAAGATACTCGCCTTCGGAGCATGAGGGTACGGATTCGAATCCCAGCGTCGGAGAGAAAAAAAAATGTTAATATATTTATGCTGAAGACATTTTAGAGTCTCACCAAGCACTCATGGCGCTGAAAGCATCGGGATAGCTGAGCCGCAGGGCCCTACACGAGTGTCCGCTCTTGGTGTAAGTATGTTTCTGTATGATGTAATTACAGGTTCTCTACTATGCGAGAGCAGTGCTTTCTGTAATATATATTCAGAAAAAGTGTTTAATGATTTCGAGTACTTCGTACTCAACTATGGGAGAGCAGTGCGGCGTCCTTTGCTAAAAACTCTGTAACATGTGTTTAGAAAGAATGTTTAACAATTTCGAGTACTTCGTACTCAACTATGGGAGAGCACTGAGCCATCCCGCTAGTCCCCCACCGGCATGCAAAAGCAGTTTTTCAGGCACTATTATTTGAATGATGCTCAGCAGCTCCTTACCACCATATTTTCCTTCTTTGAAGAACCAGTTCTGGGGCCGGTTCATGAGCTCCTTTCTGGGAAGGTACTTTTTTACCAGTTGAAAATCGCTGATTATATCACGTCAGTTGAGCCAGTTTTGATCCTGTGAGGATGTTTTAAAAACAAGAAATCACCTCCTACTTCGAAGATATACCAACAGCTCTAATTACTGTCATTTAAAACATCCCATAAGCAAAATCAAAGTACAAGGCAACGTCATCAAATAAAACAAGGCAATGTCATGAAATTTTTGTTCATTGTGAAGACTTCAAAAATTTCAATTATTTAAATTCGAATGCAAGTGAATCTGATTACCCTACTATTCGTTCGAGAATTTGAAGCATTCCAATATTCGCACAAGCCTAGAAAACATGTTAATTATGGGTGCATGTGTGCATGGCCATATATTTGTTTGGTTGTATGATAATAGCAAAAAACAATCTAAACATATGGAATGGTAAAAAATGTATAACAAAAGACAATCACATGGTTAGCATTGCTAATTTTGTAGTAAGTAGGGTTGTTTCAACATAACTGAACAGACAGCTGCTCGCCCAAAATACCCAAAAAGTTCCAAACAACAATTACTTGAGCAAGAAAGATGAAAAATATCAGAAAAGTAGGGAGGTTGACTAGACTATGTCCAGTTTGCTACCCTACACGGTGAAGA